TGGGTACGTGGTACGAACTAAAGGCGCCCAGAGAAACACGTAAACCAAACAAATGACTCCGCATCACCCAAACCGGGGTGCTCTAATACCGAGGCCCGCATTACCGGGATTTCTGCTGGGATCGCCCGCGCACGCTCTGCATTTTCCGAGACCTGCGTGCTTGGGGCGCAGCGGAAGACCCTCCTACTCGTTCGCTTGTCGGTGAGGACTTCTTGAAGTTCTGAATCCAAACTGACTCCCGTGCTAAGAGATGAGTGAGATTTGGGAGGGGAATGCACCCGCCGCGGGGCTTTTGCAGGCTAGCAGCCCACGCAGCCCAACAGGGCACCATGTCTCGAAAGCTGACCACCTCGGTCGGCCATGCAGAATAAGCAATGACGACAAATGGGGCTGGTGGGTGGGTGGGTAAGGAATTGTGAGCAGAATGATAACGTCTTTTCGCTTCCCCATAGTGGGAAAAATTAGTTATCGACATTGGAACTTTGGCAAGTGGAAATATCAATGGCATTGTGGATTCTGGGTGTGGGCTCTGAAAGAAAAAGGATTTGATATGGATGGAGGTTCGGTTTCAGCCGTGATTCCTCTTGTCTCGTTGAAGACTCAATATTGCCGCAATTGGAGAGAATCTGACATATTGCCACTTTGGTGACTCTATCTACCTAGATCCTGAGAAGGGCCTGGATCCCTATGCCCCTTGCCCTCTGAGGCTCCTGAATACCAAAGATCCCTTTTTGATCCCGCACCCATTAGGCATCCAACTATTGCTGAGATTGATGGATTGCGTCTTTCATCTCAAACGGTCTTAGCAAGTAACCAAACCCCCCCATCTGTGGTTGCCTGTCGTAAAGACTCGATGAATTTCGAAAGATTGCATATGCGGATGCGGGCAAGTCAACTTGAAGCCCGTTAAGGGATGGTCCATTTCGTCTGACAAGCATGGGGGGCTATTCAGCAGATCGTAAGGCATGTTTTCCCCTGCCGCATGTTCCCTCTCTCTTGCGTCGTCCATTTGGATACTCAAATGTACGTTGATGTAATTGACTCGTCTCGTGTCTTACATGAATGTACTTGACGCCTAAGTCCCATGTCCCCCAGTCCCGAGATGCCTTGCCTTTACCTTTGCCTTTGCTTTGTTCCGTGCCGCGCCGTACCTCGCCTTGCCTCGCCTCGTCAGCTCGTCATCTGTTCGCGTCGCGAGAGAGAAAAGAGGTTCTCGAAATAGAACTTGTACCGAGATCGCGAAGGGACGGGTTTCGTTTTCTTTGGATTTCACAGTGGTGGTACCCGCACAGGTACAGATGTGCAGAAGGGCGATGCACGGCGTATTCTGCAGAAGCGTAATTTTCGCTCGACCGAGGCCGGCATGGTGTGGGTGGATGTGTGTGTGTGACGGGGCGCCACAATCTTCGAGTAACGGTCGTACCCAAGGATATGCGGGATGGCGGGCGGGTGAGCGGGCTACAGTACGCTTGTGTGAGGTTCCCCCGTTGGTCCATTGGGATTTTGGAAATCTTTGGGCCTTTGGTGTTGTGGTACCCCAGTTTAAGCCTTGGGAGCTGCCCACGTCAGCTTTCAATGCTAAGCCCAGCCCTACGGGTCTTTTTTGGTGATGGGGCCATCGTGATGGATGGATGAATGGATGGGGATGTCAGCTCAGGGCTTAGCATCCTTTCGACGAGGGCAGCCTAAAGGACTGGGAGATAACGCCAGGCCAGGCCAGGTACAGGTACAGGTACGGGTATCATGATGGCCTTGACTTGACTTGACAGAAGCTGAGGTCTGTTCCCAACGTCCCGCCGCTGTCAGCTGGTCTTCCATCTCTTGTCAAAGCCCATCGTGTCGGTAATGAAGGCTCGATCTGGGTTGGGCTGTTTGACTTCTGATGCCCTGAACGAGGACCCCGTCCGAGAGCAAGCGTCTGTCGATTTGGATCTTTCGTCTTTCGCAAGGCTGAAGCGGGAGATTGCGGTAGGCCCTTTCTTCTCTCTCCATCCGTCACCGCGTCCCCTTTCTTTCTTCCATCGAGCGATGATGCAAGTGCGCGTTGCTAGGGTCGCCGAGGGAACCGACCGAAAGTGACCGACCGACCGACCGATACCGATGAGGTGGGTCCCCTTGCTAGATGGTTTTCCTTCTCCCTGCCGGGGCGCCGGATGCGAGGCTCTGGAGGAGTTGCCCGAGAAGACCGAAATATTGGAAAGCGGGAAACGACGTCGTTCGAAGGGCGGGGAGACTGCCCACCACCGCCCAGCCAGGCGAAGAATTGGAATCTCGGTACCTGCAGCACGAATTGATTGGGCAAATTTCTTTTCAGAGTTGAAAGGAAAGGCTCTCTGCAGATCAAGGGATAGGTTTTGTTGGAAATGTCCGTGTTATTCCTTGTCTTTGCGGTGCGGTAGTGTCCCACGGACAATTCGACGGAGTTGACAACTTCGGACCCCCAACTAAGGGTCGTTGCGCTTCGGACGGAGGGGGAGCAGAGCTTCGAACGAACGCCACCAAAGTTCCCAAAATCCTGTCTCTTTTTCTATTGTTCAGTTTGTCTAAAGTGTTGACGTCCGGATAGACTGTCACATTAGCTGCGGGAGACACAAGATGGGCAAGGTGAATCTCACTGTTGCATCGTCGGGCGACGGTGGTGGAGTTTCAACACGCCCCGCGGGTTGCCTGTACAAGTCGTTCATGCACAGCGGGAAGTCTGTCCGTTTATCCCGCACTCCCGTCTGTTATCCCTTGCTTACAGTCTTGACTATCTGAACGTGTTGTTGTGTCCGATGGACGTCGACTTCAAGTTTGTCCTAGGTGGCAACTGTCAGCCAGGCTATGGTTCAGAGTTGACAGCTATCAGGGAAAATAGGCTCAACGGACACTCACATAAAAGACGTCCGGAAATAATGATAAAGTGTCCGTGTTAGAAAAGAAAAGACCGCAAGCAAGCTTGACAGTCCTTGTACCTCCCAAGAGGCTAAGCCTTCCGCGGCTCGGTAACGTGCTGATCGTCAGGTCTGGGGCATGGCCAACGAGCCGCAATATCGACGACGGGACGTCCAGGGTAGGGATAGTGCCGCCCCCGGACGGACGTTATGCGCGCGGTGCTCCTTCTGCTGCTTCTTGCAGGGCCGGACGACGGCGTCCGGTGATTATAGGACCAAGTGATAGAATACCAACTCTGAATCCTTCAGAGGGGCTCTCTTCGTAGATTGGCTGGTTTCAGTAGAACCGGGAGCTCTATCCAGAAGGGCTTCTTGAGTCTTAGAAGTAACGTATCTGTAATACAGCTTGTCTTCGATACAGATTTGAACAGGTGATGCAGTCCGGAGTTGAGCCAGGTTCCTAGTTGTGATACTACATCCTGTGTTCTAAACGCCGATTGCTTGAGTTGCCCGAAAACCAATACTTACTAACGCGTTGATACTGAAGATCTTTCTTGTCCGGACATCACACTATAGACGACCACGGCCTAGACGTTCTCAAGTCCGCAGTCGGTCATGGCCGAGATGTCGTGCCCGAGTTGACCGGTCTATCGTGCCAGTAAGCGTCTTTCTTGTTACATTCTCGCTCTTTTGGGCAACAATGTCTGTAAAGTGTATCACACACCTCCAAGGATCTCAATCCATTGAGTTACTCTCCTGTCCGTCGCCCTGGGCGATCTTGTCCACCTGCAACCACCCCGGCTCCGGGCAACGGGGGTTCGAAGCTGTCCCCTGCCTGGCCTGCTTGCCAACCTTGTTCCTGCCTTTCGGTTCCTCTGATCTGACGGAGTGAAGAGAAACGCCATCCGGCTGACAGTTGAGAAGGGAAGGGTTTGCGTGAATGGCAACATGGTCGTTGTTTCTTCTCAACTGCAGCAAGCAGGCCCCGGTGCGGTGTTCCGGAGTTGCGTATTTCGTGCCACGCGCGTGCAGTTGACCACGGTAGTTATCCACAGTTCCTTGGATTTTTTTCTGACACACCGTCTCTATGTTGACCCGTGTATAGAGCATATCAGCTTGTAGTTCAAGCAGACTGAAAATAGAACTCTCTCCGGGCCGTCGACAACTTGGTCCCATCTGGTGATGATCCTGGCCGGTAAGCTTGCTGGGCCATTCGAAAATCTCGTATGAATCCGGTTGGCACTTTATTATTTCGTCCGGTAGCTGCGTTTCTTGGCGTGGGCCGGTTGCCTTGTCGACTCGGTGATGTGAGGGCAAGTCCGTACCCGAACTCTTCCTTTAGCTCCATCGTGGTGTGTTGGAAAGAGCGTGAACGACGACGCACGGTCGAGACGTCAACCGTCAATCAAATGTCCCTCGGATCACCGACATCAGGATGATGTTCAGATGGCAGCACTAGGCTTAGCCTCTTCCAATACCCCCTCTTCTGTCTCCCCGGTGTACCCCCCTCTGATCATCTTCCTGTCCGGCGTTCGATTATGTGTCCATCTGTTCTTGTTCTTCTTTCTCTTCAGACAAATGCATTCCGACGAAACTCCAGGATCTCTTCGCCCGATATCAGACCTCAGAGAAGCCTTACGCAAACGCGACGTCAATCTGAGACCCGTCACTGGATGGGGCCCGCCGGCGCCAGGAAGAAACATAGAGCGCGGAGCTGGCCGGCGTCCTATGAGGTTGAGATAGAGGGTGCGCCGAAAGTCGACCAGAGCCAGTCAGCGCAAGCTGCACTTGCATCTCTGAAACGCAGACGTGAACGCCTCAGGAGGCATTCTCCCACACCCACTTTGTCCTGCCGCCGTGGGACTAGATGGAAATCAACCGTATTCATCCAGCCAAACGGGACTCTAATACACGCCCCCGTGATCAACGATGCCGCGCGGACTCGAAACACAGACAAGTCAAAAGAGAGCTTTCAAGCAAGTAAAGCAACTAGACTCTTTCATGGCACGGGCTGGGGTAAAGAGAAGCAGGGCAACGAGAGGAGAAGAGAGAGAGAGAGGCGGAGCCATGAGCCAATGCAAGTCTGGAACGGACTTCTGTCGCTAGCAAACTGGACAAATGAGAGGGGAGGACTAGGAAAATGTTACATGAATCCCGCGGGGGGTTGAAGAAGCATATTGTGACTATATTGCGGTAAGTCGGTGATCTCTCGTCTCCTTTTCTGAGCCCCCTGCTATGCACTCCCTCGTCCCTTCATTCCTTCTTTTCTCTTGGCCGGTCTTCTCGGTCATCGGGTGATTTCTTCTTGACCGAGAGAGAGTGAGGGATATACATCCTGGCTCGAGCTGTCGTCCGATATACGACGGCAGCAGGTTAGGCGATGATGGGACAAGATCGTCCGTGGAGTGACGGATCTCGTACAACCCCCCGGCATCTCAGCTTGCTGTGCCTCTGGTCTACCCCCCGGCTGTCCACCCCATCTGTCTCCGCTCTCTCGTCTATATATCTCCTCTGTCCTCCCCCACATCATCCTCTCTTCCCATGTTGACGACATACCTTACCCCATTACCTTTCCCGATGTCATCTAGTGCGGCGTTGACGAGGTGCGGGTCGGCACTGGGAATTACTACATGAGAGGGGGCCTCCAACTCGCCAGACGACAACCACCTGGAAAGTGTCGCGGCCCAGGATCGGAACATATCAGGATGGGCCTCGAAGGAGCCATAGATGTTGCGCAAGGAAATGCCCCTTTCAGCCAAGGCATCAACGTCGGAACCGGTCGAGGAGGACAACATGACGATGGTCTTCGAAACATTGGTGGGAACGAAAAGAGAGGCGGCTAGAGTGGGATGGCCAGACGCATATGCCTCCACGACATGCAAAGGAGGAGAGCTGAGGATGGTCTGAACATCGGACGGAATAGAAGAGGAGGACCGGTCAATGACATGAGTTGCCCCAAGGTTTCGGAGTTTTGCAAAGGAGGCCTTGGAAGAGGTGGCTATGATGGTTCCGATGCCCGCAATCGCCGCAAGTCGAACGATGAAAGTGCCGACGTTTGTGCCCGCGCCAAGGACGATGACATGGGCTTTTTGGTACTCGAAGGTCGTATCAGTGCTAGGAAAGGGAAACCCGAGGCCAGATGAGTGGAATAAAGAAAGAGCCGCAGTGAAGGGGTTGGTGATTAGTGTTGCAGCTTGAAGGGACGGCATTGCCCCTGGGACGGGTATCAAGAGTCGAGGATCGGCGAGAACGTACAGGGCCAAGCCGCCGGCATGCGGTCGACGAAGATTCCCCTGAAAGAGGACACGCGTACCGATAGGGGGAAAGGGGACATCACTTGGAGCGATCGAAATCCCGTATTCGACGACTGTGCCCACGATATCGATGCCGAGCACCAAGGGAAGGCGAGAAGCAATGTTGAAAACGCCGAAGTCGCGGAGTTTTTGATCAAGGGCTAGAAGACCAGTGGCTTCGACGCATATCAAGACCTCTCCTGGGCCAGGACGGGGCACTAATTGGACCGTCGCCTGAAGGGGTTTTCCGATAACGACAAGGGATAAAGCGACCTGGGAAATGGTGTTGATTAAGTCTGGCATGGTGGATATCTTCATCGAAGGAAGATCGAAAGAGATTGGGAAAGAAGGGCTTGTGGAAAAGCTGCTGGATGAGCGGAGGACCAACGTCGACTTGATCAGGCAACAACTAATCATATCCTCCTTGAGCTCAAGTCGTTGTGTGGTGGGCTGGAACGCATGGAAAGGCCCTCCGCGGCTGCTGAACCGAGGCAGGAATCCTACAGCGTCACAACTTAAGGATAATCACCATGAAGCTGGTCGTTGGCGAACTGGAGTTATCGGATTTTATGATTTCGGCCCCGGTCTAAGAGGTGAGCGGTTCCGAATCCGGCAATGGAAGAGAGGCAGCCATCAGGAGGACGGAGCCACAGGATAAGGCGACTAAGGTGAGGACTATCCAACAGCACCAGCAGCAACAAAAGTAGCACTGGGCGTCTCTGCCACCATTCTTCCTCTTGTGCTGTTGCGTCCTTTGCGGTGGTGTTGCTGTCTGTTTCGCAAGAGACCCGCGGCTGGAGCTACGAGATCTTGACATATCGCCGTCGGTTTAGAGTGCGCGGGTCGGAGGATACAATGGCTAGTTGGGCGGTATGTCGTCAAGCTATCGGGGTGTCAGTCTGCCCGGCGGCTTAAGTCGGACTACACTCCGAAGCGGGATAAAAAGTACCGAGTCCTTCTCAGGTATCCTACTCGTGGTAAGCAATGATCAATAGGCGTAGATTCGCGCCAACAAAGACTTACAAAAAGGGTACGTAAACGTCTTGAGCTAACTACCAGTTTAAGGCTTGTCGTCGTTTTGGTCTTTCTGTTTATAGAACCAATTTGCAACTGCAGGGTGTGAAAGCTGATGCCTTCGAAAACAAGTTCGAAGGGTGCACTTGCACTCTAAATGCTTCTAACTCAGGCAGCTTGAATGAACCAACTGCCATGACACCGTAGCTAAGCTCAGGTTCCGCACTGACTTCATCGTGGGTCTGAGCGTGTTTGTGCTTCATGCGGCCCGGCGAAGACAGAAGAATGGCAAAAGAACACTTGACACCGAGGTGCCAAGTCTGGCCATAACCCGGATTTGAGCGCACATACGCCCGTTTCTGGTGCTTTATGAGCAGCGGGCTTAGTTCTCCGTGTCGTCTGGAGTCTTCCCCATCGGCATCTGAATGCCGCTCATAGAGAGCAACGGGACACCAAAGGTTGCCATATCATGAGAGTATTGTTATCATTCACAAACGGTCCGTTTTGAGTTTCCAATTCTGCCAATCAGCGCCGAATGGTTGCTCAGTGGTCCTGGTCTGTCTAGATATCACTGTTAGCTCCCATCTCGTTTTGATTCCAGTCACTATGAGCCTAATCAGACCGTGATGTTAATCAACTTGCTAAGCAATTTCAAATAGTCTGCCGGTCGGTTGAAAGTGATCCAGGTCGACCTGGATACCAATCAATGTTGGGATCCACTGTTGACGATAATGATGCTTGGAATTGGGTAAAGTATGATTGGTTCAAGAACTGAAGGGAACTACCTATATTGTGTAATTCACATTCTGCTACAGAGCACAGTTTTCAAATTGAGAGAGAGCTTGTAAACTGTAGTGACCGCGATGCAAATTTGAAACGGAAGTAGCTTTCAATTCCATTGACGAAAGAAAGATTCTTGAGGTTCTGAATGTCATTGAGGTCATGGACACCGAAGTTGCCGGGTGTGAACAAAAATATGACTAAGCACGGGTAATCTGCGGGTCCTCCACAAGCGCGGGTCGCATTTTGGTGGCAGCTACCGCGATTTCCAAGTCCCGGGAGCTCCAGTGTCCCCAAATTCCAATTCGCAAATCTTTGGAGCTTCAAATATCGGCATTGAGCTTCACCATATGCCGCACTTACTTTGATTTGGTCTGGAGATGCCCAGGTACGCCTGACTGAAGCCATATGTCAATGATCTCAAACTAATCGCCATCAAGAACCATTCGCGCAAAGCTTTGAACCCACACCATGAGGGCGCAATTAGCCCGCCATGTCTGCCGACGGGTCTTCGTTCCTAGGGGCAGCGTCCCTGCCTGTTCGATTCTTTCTCGCCCAGCGTGTCGCCATACACAGCTCCCGGTAGCTTCGACGATATCCCTCTCTCGACGATCCCAGCGACGGACGTTCTTCGGTATCCTGCAGAAGCCCCCGAGACAAATCAAAAAGCCAGAGTATGAGCCTGGGTGGACAACGGTCTTGACATGGAGAAATCGCCTTTTGGAGAGCGTTCGACCGCCGTCTAGAACAGAATTGGTCGAGGCATTTAGGGATTTGTTCTCGTACAAAGTGCGCTTCAACATCGTCGTCAACAGCACTCAGGCCTTACACTGTCGTAATCTGTTAAAATACCTGCTCGAAAATAAGGATGACGAGCCGGGTCCAGGTCTGACTCTGTCAGAGTTGACGAACGCGCGCGAAGCGCTGCTGAAGTTGCCGAAAGAGGATACCAAAGACCACCTGGAGTTCTCCAGGCTCTTATACGATGCGATCAAGGAAGAACGGGCATTGGATCCCGCAGATCCTGGAGCATCGGAGGACTTCGAGTCGTACCTGGTCGCCTTGACATTATTTGGAGCATCTCCCGAAGCCTTTACCGCGTTGCAGGAACACTGGGCCCAATTATCTGAAGCAGAGCGACCTGGCGCGCAGAACCTTTGGGTCAATGTCCTGCAAGGGCTGGCGGAGGAAGGTCGTGAGGCAGAGCTTGTGGCGGCTGTCAAAAAAGCCGAGAAACTTGGTTTGCCTTTCACGGCAAGTTTTCATGAGGTTATGACAACTTTCTTCGCCAAGAAGGACAATGTTTTGGAGACCAAGAAATGGTTCCTCAGGCCAGCTCACAACACCGAGCATCCAAGCCCCAGGTCTTTCAAAGAAATCTTGCATTTTTCAGTGAGAAACAACCAACGCGGGTGGACAGCGCCGATCTTCAAGAAGCTTGTTGACGCCAACCCGAGCAAAGAGCATTGGGATGTAATCTATCAATGGGCAGTACTGTCCATGGGCAAAGGGCTTGATGACATCAAAGGCATGTTTGATGTTGTTGCTCGCCACAACCCCGACGACAGCGCCTTCCTACCAGACACCCAAACGATCAATGGGCTGCTGGAGGTTGCCATTGAGAAGAACGACCCTTATTTGGCAGACAGGCTTGTCTCGTTCGCAAGCGAGCTCGACATCCGGCCTGATGCAACAACATACCTTCTCCAAATGGACTTCAAGATCCGGGCAAAGGACTTGTCAGGGGCCAGGGCGGCTTACATGCAGCTCCCCAAGGCGGAGCTGAACGGAGAAGACGACTTGCCCCTGATCAACAAGTATCTTCAAGCGCTATGCTACCAAGCAACCCCGAATTCCACGGCGATACGCGAGATGCTGGATATTCTGGAGGACCGAATTGTCACATTAGACCCAGAGACAGTGGTCGCATTATGCACGGTCTTCCTCAAGAATGACCAGCAATTCGAAATTATCGACACACTGTCGCTGAACGTATTTCAACACAGCAACGAACAACGGCGATCCATCAGAGATGCATTTGTGGCGTACTGTTTGGACAAGAAAAACAGTACCGCGAGAGTTTGGGACGCCTATTGCATCCTTCGTCAGTTCTTCCAGGAGACCAGTGTTGCGAGCCGTCTCCTACTCATGGACGCATTCTTTGACCGCAACCGCTCTGACATGGCCGTCCACGTATTTGGACACATGCGGCAGCATGTCAACCCAACATTCCATCCCAAGAGCGAAGCCTACATTCAATGTTTGGAAGGCATGGGCAGGTGTCCCGACTTGGACAGCACGAAGTTGGTCCATAACATGCTGAAGATGGACACGAAAATTCAGCCCAGCACAAAGATTTTCAACGCGTTGATGATTGCCTATGGTGCATGCAGGAAACCGAGTATAGCCTTGGAGTACTGGCAGGACATTGTCAGGTCTTCCGAAGGCCCATCATACAACAGTCTCGAGATTGTGTTCTCCCTCTGTGAAATCAAGGCCTTTGGCGACCAGATTGCCAGGGATATCTGGAAGAAGATAGAGAAGATGGAGGTCGATGTTCCGCCGGCAGTCTTTGCTTCCTACTGCGGTGGCCTTGCAGGCAATGGCAATCTGCAGGAGGTCCAGAGCACGATCAGAACCATGAAGCGAGCTGTTGGGTATGGGCCTGATGCCATGACGTGAGTTCATCCCTCCAATCGCTTTCAAAGTTCATAGCTAACATCTGTACAGGCTTGGCATTCCATTTAATGCGTTGCCTGGGCAAGGCTTGCAGCGGGAGTTCGAAGCATGGGCCAAGAAGCAGTTCCCAGAGGAGTGGGCGGAGGTGGAGAAGTTCCGCTACTATTACACTCCCGAAAAACTGAAGAAGTTCAAGCTACAGCGTGTGCTGAAGGCATGATGTGTACAATAAATACTGGAGGAGCTTCTTGTATCTGTACATTTATAATAGACGCCAAGATGTTGTACAATTCATACACGGGAGAGACTCCCAATTTCCGCAGACAAATCCACAGGCCCTGCAAGCCTTTCCAAACCTTAAGCCTCTCCAAAGTCTCTACTTCCACGACGCATTGAGGCGGAATCTCTTCTTCAGCAGCTCGGGGTGGTGGTGCACACTAGGGTGGATACCCATACCAATCGCTCTCCGGATAGCCTTTGCCATCTTCCTCTGATTCGTCGGCTTCAGTCCCGTTTCCTTGTTGTGCCTGATCTGCCCGAAGTTCGTCATGTACTCGGAAATCATTGAGAAGTTCTGCAACATAAAATTAGCATCCAGAGGGCTTTGAGGATACCAATGAAACATACTCTGTAGTGGTCCAGGGGGTTGATTCCCAACAAGTCAACGACATCGACCGTGACGGTCTTTTGCCTGCGCCATTTCTCCATCTCAAGAGGGCTGAGATCGTGCGGTGCGTATACCTCACCGGTACGCCAGCGACGCGGCATTTGCTTGACATAGTCGTCGCTGACCTTCTTCTCGCGGAGAGACTCGAGCATGGTGCGTTTCCGAGCCGCAGCTCCTTCCAAGCGGGCCTTGCTTCCATTGTTGATGAGACCACGGATACGGTCGGCAGAGTGCACCTTGGGCTTCTCGTCGAGGTTCAGGAGGTTCTTGATCGGATCGGAGCTGGAGGACTCTGTAAAGCTTGACGTTAGCTTTCGCGTCAAGGGGATAAGGGAGCTACATTGACGTACGGGCCACTGCGGGAGTCGACGAGAATGGGCGCGCGACCGGGGCCATCAAGGCGCTCGGTGCCTTGATGGCCGAAATGAGTGGTAGTCTGGGAGGCATGGCTAGTTTTGTGAGGATTTGTTGGATTGTCCCAGCGAGGCGTGGTCTGTCGCGAGATGTTGAAGCTGTCACGGGAATTTTTTGGTAGGCCGACGGAACCTCCCGCCCCACTCGTCCGATAAGCGTTCGCGGCGATAAGGATTTTTGTCCCGCCAGCTCCAGAACTTTTTCTTCTGCCGCGACCACTCGTCACCGTCGTCAACCGCCAAACCGAACTGGAAATCCGCGAAGTCAACAGCCCAGCATGGTCCGCAAACTCAAGTATCACGAGCAGAAGCTTCTGCGGAAGCACGACTTCATCACATATAAGCAGGTACCGTGATCAGCCGCACCCCGCCCGTGCAGCGGACCGAGGCGCATGTGCTAACATTGTATTACCAGGATGGCGACCACCGAGATGCCGCAGTGGTATGACAGATTCCAAGAGAAGAGATACGCGCGACACAATCTAACATGCGAATAGGTGCGCAGATACATGATTCAGAAGCCCGAGGATTATGTGAGTTTACGCAGTCAACGCGCGTATCATGAACCACCGCTAACATTGACAGCACAAATACAACAGGCTATGCGGCGTAAGTTCTCCGAATATCTCTCCGAGTTCGCGATCGAGTACACATCGAGACGTAAATTGACACGGATGCGCAGTCCATCCGTCAACTGGCCCATAGGATCAGCCTGATGCCTCCGGAAAACGCGGCCCGCCGAAAGCACGAGCAACTGCTCCTCGACAAGCTGTACGACATGGGTGTTCTCTCCTCGGCCTCGAAGCTCTCGGCCATTGAACACAATGTCACAGTCAGCGCTTTTGCCAGACGACGTCTCCCCGTCGTCATGACTCGCCTTCGGTATGGAAAAGGAGACTTTCACAACTTGATTCTTTGGGCATGATGCTAATGGAGATGTCGCAGCATGGCCGAGACCGTACAGGCAGCAACGAAGCTCATCGAACAGGGACATGTTCGTGTGGGCACGGAAACATGTGTCGATCCCGCATTCTTGGTTACCCGCAGCATGGAGGACTTCGTCACATGGACCGTGGGCAGCAAGGTCAAGAGAAACATCATGAAGTATCGCGACAAGTTGGACGACTTCGAGTTGCTGTAGACGGGACGATACACTTTCGGATGACCGGCTTGCCGTCATGGTGGGACTTGGCTTTGCGCAATATTTGGAGGTGTTATGGAGTTAGGGGCTTGGACACGGAAAAGAACATTCGACCTATCGCATTCCGCAGAGTCTGCGTGGCGGGCCTTGAGTCAGCTTTAAGGCTTAGGAGACGATCTGGACTGGCGGAGATATCGGGAGAAATCCCTTTGCTGGCATATTGCCCGATGCGCAAAGATCAAGCAACTCGGACAGATGGCACTCACTCGCATGTGGCGACGTCCTCGGAGCAGACCATCAGCCGCAATTGCATTTTGTCGACAAGTAGGCAGACGAAGGTTCCTACATTTGAGATTGTTCCCTGGCGAACCCAACCTCCAAATGAATCAACCGATACCTATTTTCGACTCTGTCAGCTCATCAGATCCGAAGTATACTGATGAATACGAACGAATCGCGAAGACTCTACAGCCAATCTCAAGGTTTAGTCGCAGAAGCACGTCATGCTGCGGGCTTGCGCTGCCTTGAGCGAGCAGATGAACACTTTGTGGACGGATGAAACGGTCGCAAAGTTTGGGACGTATATCAGTTCAGGACTATGAGACTATCGCATGAAAACGAGGGCTGAAAGGCCTGGACGAAAGAGCCGAGGCCACTGCCGAATCGGGAAATCATTGAGACGAAGCCGGGCAACTGTATAGAGTCGACTCGCAAATGAGTGCAATAGAGTAAGAGGAAATCCCGACTTTGTCCAGGATGGCCATGCAGTCCCAGCTCGGAACAAAACTTTCCTCCCCCCACAACAGACAAGAAAACGTGAAGAGTCGTCGGAAGATAACTCTATGAGGCTGAGAAGGGTGCTTTGCACGGACGCTCCTATAGAAGAGACGCCGAATGGAACAATGGATTATCCCAGTCTTGAAACAGGGAACATGACCAAGTGATACTCTGAACCGACGTTCTGGATGGTGAAGATCCGATCTCCGCCAATCGTAGCTCGAATCCCGGCCGGTACCTGAGGTCATCGTCTACTCTCTGTGTCTGATGTTTTGCACCTTCTTTTTGCGCTGTGGGTGGTCTCAACATCAGCGCACGGGGAAAGCTGAAGACTTTGTTTGTTTGAACGGATGAATCGGGGCCGGGAGACTCCCCAGCCGCGACGTTCCCTGTGGCTTTCTTGATGTGTGATATAATAACCGTCGTCCCAAAAGCCTCCCCGTTGCTACCGATGTCACGTCCGGGAAGCAACTTACACATTCTTTGATAATACTCTAGTGCGCTGGTCGACTGATTACGCTCCTTTTCCCCCACAGACAGTCGCTGATCCCTCGCTGAGAACGAACTTATAAGTCATAACAATCCTTAAAACGTAACCCTAGTTTTTTCTATCACGCAGACTTGTCCAAATCGCAATCTCGGAACTTTGAAGAAGCCACACATCACGAATACGCGCAAGGATTCTATCATGTCCGCCTTGAAGTATGCCTTCCTGGCCTCGGCCGCTCTTCACACCGTTAGTGCCCATGGCACAGTAAACGGCCTTATGGCAGATGGTGTTTTGTAGGTCCAGATTCGATATCTCACTCACATGTGGTTCATCCTGACTGACCCGATCCTACCACTCCAGCTATGAAGGCTACAGCCCTCAGATGCAGTACAAAAAGCCTCCGCCACAAGTCATAGGATGGTCCATCCCAAAGGATCTGTCCAACGGCTTCGTCGCCGTAGACAAATACGCAGACGCAGACATCATCTGCCACGTCGGCGCGGAACCGGCACCGATCGCCGCAAAAGTAACAGCGGGCTCCAACGTCACCGTCTTCTGGACCGATTGGCCCGAGTCGCACCACGGGCCGATGATGGACTACCTGGCTCCCTGTAACGGCGACTGCGCCAAGGTCAACAAGGCCGACCTGCAGTTCTTCAAGATTGACGCCGTCGGCGTCGTCGACGGCGCCAAGGCGCCCGGCAAGTGGGGTTCAGACGACATGCTATCCAACAACAAGTCGTGGACGATGACGATCCCGGCAAACATCGCACCCGGCCAGTACGTCCTGCGCCACGAGACGATTGCGCTGCATGAGGCCGGTCGCGAGGGTGGCGCGCAGAATTACCCTCAGTGCCCCAACATCGACGTCCAGGGCGGCGGGTCCGAGAAGCCCCCCGGCGTCAAGGCGACGGAGCTCTACAAGGCCAACGATGAGGGCATCAAGTTCAACATCTACAAGGATAACCTCGACTACCCCATGCCTGGACCCCCCATGATGGGCGCCGCGGAGAAGCCTACCCGTCGGCGGAAGAGGGTGACGGTCATCTACTGAAGGAAAATATGAATGGGGGGCTCACTGGCTTTTGTACAAATCGTGTTACTGTTATGTATTTGTACGGACGAACATTTCACGACGCATGATGGGGCGGGATAGGGCGGAAACCTCTGCTTTTCTTTGCGGGCTCAACCAACTTCTTGCTACGCTGGCCGTGCAAAGACTCTCTTTCGAGTCTCATGTTTCCTTTACGAATTGTCGATATCCTTGGCATACCACCTGTGTATAGAAAGCGGTCCTGTGAGATGGGGTTCACGAATAAGCGAGCATCCATGGGCGTATATAAACCTCCCCATGTATCATACTGTAGTTTTTGTTCTTGTGAATGACAAATTGTAAACGATCACACGAGGAGAGTGCGTGTATAGATGAGCGTGAACCAACAAACGTGTCCAGTCTTCTTGCCACTCCAACTATCTGCCCACTCCTCTTTGGAATTGTTACCATGAATGATTTGGGTTCCTGGTCTGCGATTCGTCAGAGTATTCGGCCGTGATGAGTACTCATGTCCGAAGGTTCAGCTCCGTACCCGAATCCGAAAATCTCGTGCGGCCCAACCCTTTTTGTTCTTTCGCCGCCGGTTTCAGAAAGACCTGCTCTCTCCCTCTTCATCTTGCCGGGAACCGAATCCCGCGTGGGCCTCCTCTCTTCCTCTGGGGGAGGGAACCCGGACGCTACGGTACTTTTCCCCTCGACACGGGTCACATGGATGTCCGAGGGGCCCCGGACCCGGCAGATCTACAAAAGAGACACGAAAACCTGAAGCACGGAGGACCTTCTTAAGAGACCTCACATATTGATCTGCAACAGTGATCAGTACGGAGCACACAAGCACACTTAATTGCGCCCGCCTCCCCGTCTGCATGGCCCTGTCGATAATATTTGCTCTTATATGTTCTGTTTCTATGGAGCTTTGGTCATGCAACGGCTTGTAGGTTATCGGTGTCTGTATGATCTACGGGCGCACCGACTCCGGAGCTTAGCGAATATGTTTCGCGGGGCCTCCCTGTGGTGGTACAGTGGTCAATCTCTCCAGTAACTTGTAGGGTCATTTCATCTTGATGTGTGAAAACTTGGAGGTATGAGTGATTACTGGCTGCCTGTACTCATCCATGGCAAAATCTATGATTGTCCAAGCCAGCCTGCGGTATGCCCATATGTGCCCTCCTCAGACTAGACAGCCTTGCAAACCCACCGAAGCAGGTTGCTCATGTTGAAGTGAAACGGCCAGGAAATGAATATCTGGCCGACACAGCCCACTGACCTTTGAATGACGAGGGCTAACCTGAAGACCTGGAGAGTTGTAGCACCCGACATTTTTGCCGATGTCATGGGCTTCCGCGTCGAGAGCATCTCAGAGCCTGTCAGCAGGCCTCTTCGGGCAAGATCACCTCTCCAGAACTATGAAAACAAAATGTATCTTCCCTAAAGCACGTAGCGCATCCACGTATATCGCGCTGAATAAGGGGTAATTACGATGGTTGACGCAGCCAGAACACGCCCCAATATGGAAGGGAGCAGAAGGTGTTAAATACGGGCGCTGCCAACATATGAACTTCATCCGTCTTGGTGTAGATGCACCAACACTCCACTGGAGAAGCACGAGTCGCTTCAATACTACTACATACCACTGAGCTTTTTCTTGCGCCCCTCTATTATTAAAGCTACGATGTGGAGGTTCGATAATCGACAACGTCTTGACACTTCCGGAACAGATGAACCTCCAGTCTCAGAGAATTAGTACTGAGAGAAAACCAGTAAAGGTCTCGGGCCTTAGTTCAAATTCAATCCCATGAAAGCCCAGCGTCTTAGTTTCTTCATTGCCCGTTTAACCACCAGGCTTAGTGGCCCCGGCCGGTTCGAACCGCACCGGGGGAGTGCTCCTTTCTTCAAATCTATGACCTGTAAACCTTCTGCTCGATGCGACTCATGGGCTTAGGGATCGGCAGCTTGAGGCATCCCGTGAACGTGAGCCTTCGCCCTCGTCCTGGCCCGTATTCAGACTAAGATACTTGAGCCCATAAGTCCTCTGCGAAAAAGGGTCATGTTGCTATCTCAATGAGTAATGCGAAAAGCACCATCCAGTCTATTAGCGCCGAGACAAGTGGCAGCTGTCTCCTCAGGAGAGAGAGGGGGAGAGGGAGAGGGAGAGAAAAGGAGAGAGAGAGAGAGAGAGAGAGGACGTGTCGATTTCGTTCTCAAGACTGATTTCTGCTACCCTTAGTTATCCTATTACAGGCAAGAGCTGGATGGAAAAGGTTTTCTGCTGGATGTGGTCCTCCGTCCAGTATAAAGTACGTTAGTGCATTTATACCTCATTGTTTTCTCCCGGAACTGCAGAGCCACGCCCCTGAGGCCGCACCCAGCCTGCGTAGTCATTTGTTGAGAGTTCGTACGACAGGCCTATCGAGCTGCTTGAGAGTTGATTGGGACAAGGATGTGGGGCTGTAGAAATGGGCTGAGGTGAGGGTATAGGAGCTTGGAGTAACTTATCACGTTGTGCGTATTCTTGGTTGGATAATTCTAAGACAAAAGCGGGTGACGAAGAGCAAGCGATTAGCAGCGACCTAGTGGATTCTATGTTCAAATTTAGAGACTCGGCAGTCGAAATTGGCTTGAAGCTCCAAGAATAGAGGCATTCTGCTCGAACATGAGAGAATATACTCGCCAGGACGGCGACTCCACCCACAGTCTCACGAACCGCTGCCTCTCTATGGTCGCCACTTATATCCGATTCCCGAACCATTGGGATCTCACGGTATCAATGCTCTGTTCTCGTAAAAACAACCTTCTCACAGTCGCTCCATGCCTTCTAGGTACCACTTGCCACATTGTGCCCCGGAAAATAAAACGGAAGTGGCGAAATAGAGCGCAGCGTGAAATAGTATAGACATTTGAGTGACCTCACTCTCCCGGGGTAGACACCATCAACGATGCGGGAGCTGGTCTAGTACTTCGAATTTTTGTATTCAAGAGACGAGGCGAGCCTTTCCACATGGATTCTCACCAGACTATGCAAGGGTCGACCGCGTACTGTCACTGGCCTGACAGGGCCACTCCTAAAGCCGACGAAGATGGGAACTTGAATTACATCCATGCTTAGAACTCGCTACGCCTCTCCTAGGAGTGGCTTCATGGATTTAAACCAGTGGGATGCACGGCACCAACTAGTAGAGACCTATCGCCATATTATCTTTCTAACATGCCCAGTTGCAAGTGTGACTGCTATACAGCTCTCCAAGACTACATCCATGGCGGAAGACACAGCTAAAACAGGTATTTTAAGAGATATTTCAGGTTGAGAGGAACTTGCTAAGCTGTTGCGACTACACTCAATGATTCCTTGCTCCATGATCTAAAAAGCAGGGCAGAGTCTTCATCGCTGTTAATGCTGAGCAAGATCTCACGTGAAGACATAACCCTCGTCCGTCTTTGAATCACGTTAAGGATGTGAATCGGGGCAATGAATGGCAGAACTTAAAGCCAGCCCCTTGGAATCCGTCTCTGGTCGTGTCGATAGAATGGCGTCTTACGGCAACCTCATGAATTAGAGGGCATCGCAGAAAACAGCTCACAACAATGGCGGCGCGTGTTCGGGGTCAAGAGGCTATCTCTTAGGGGCGTAAGTTGACGCGGCTCCAACGAAGACTTTGACCATCTCGGAAAACTAATCCCATTGAGATCGACATTCAACTGCATGTCCTTCTCGAATCGTTGCTTGTTGCTCGTTGCTCGCGCCTCCTCCCCCCTTTTTTGTCAGCGCTTACGACCTCTGCCATCGGGGACAAGATTCTGAACAACACTAGTCATTCAACACAAGCCAGCCAGTATACTTACCGTACACCACTTTCTTGATCACGAGGTACGTCCAACTGGAATCCGAGGTGGAAGCACGTCGCTACTAAACGACCCACCATTTCAGCTTCTAAACCCACTCGCCCGCCTGTGATATCACAACACAGATGAACGACTGCCTTCCTAGCGCAATGGCCTGCCTTGACTTCCTTTCATACACTTTCGAGTCTCGCGATCTAGGACGAGCGTACAGGGAGCAGCTCGCGAAGGGAATGGTTGACCGTTGACAGAAACAACCGAAGATCGAGATGGGGGCCGGATCTTAACCAACTTTCATATAGACCCAGGACACGCGGCGATGGCTCTAGGCTATATCAATTCCAATGTTATATTCGCTCCGGAATAAGAGGTCGGTGGCAGATGGAGCTAAACAATACGTATTATTCCGTTGATACATATTGGGTGCCTTGTGGTTCTAATCAACTATATAAATCACTTGTTTTCTTTGGAAAAGATAAGGATTACGAGCCGATCGAATCTATCCATGGATCGAGTTAGAAAAACCCAAGTCTTTGCGGCCGGGGATATGAACTAGACACTGCGGCTCGCAAGGCTTATAAACCGGCCTCTTGAAGCTCCCTGGCTGCCTTCCTTGACACAAACCAAACTACAAACGTGTGTCAACTCAGCTACTCAAAAAACTTGGCTCGTAAACTGACTGCTGTCGCCTCGCGTTGCCCGTTTCGACAGGAACATAAGCATACACATGATTATGGGCCGGCTCCTGAGCGGCGCCTGAGGCCTCAACGGCGACGTGTTTCATTTACCAACCGCGTTGTTTACGCAGAAGCTAAAGTGAACGAGGAGAACACTTCCATAGCCGCCGGAATACTTCCTTCCTCAGCGTGGGAACCTTATCTCCGCAGTATTTCCCTCGACATACACACATACTATATAATAGATCCTACCGCACCCTTCCTACATCTCGCTCTCCAACCGGTTTCGACTGTTGGACCAATGTGGCGTCACAGGCCAGTATGACGGAGCCTAATGGAGAGAAGCCCGAACGCACTGGAAGTCGACGGCTTGTCTCAGTGCGTTGCTTAAGATGATGTTTCTGCGCCTGATCTCAATACTGCTCTGCCTACACATACCTCAATGCTTCTCCTTATTTGCCTTTCACTTTATATTCCCTCTCGAATAAGCAATGAGCCACGGGCAACGAAAACTACCCTACTTTATTGTAATCACGTTCCGACTTCGCTCTCTTTTTTCAGTTGAGGGAGGGAGCCACACCCTCTCCTTGGGCAAACAGACCACCCAACGTGTGAGCTTTGCTACAATACCGGAATGCCTGCATACATCAACTGGTTGAAGAAACGAGTCGTCGATGGCTATCTCGTAAGAGTATTTATACCCCTCATGGGTCATTGACCCTCCTCTAACGGCACGACCGCAATGGTAGGTTCTCGCTATAACAAAAATGGCCCAACCTTACTCAGGCTGGTTATCATCCCTGCGGTTGTAGGATTTCTGTCTACATACCAACTTCCCTACGTCGTCGCCGTAGTTCTTCAAGATACTCATCGCGGATCCAGCATTACCCCTACCGCCGTCATTGTCTATTCGCGAATACCTCAAAACGTCGCGAGTGGAAGTCAAGACGCCTCCTAGATCACAACAAACTCGATTACCGACTCCTTCTACCAGTTCATTCTCTCTACCAGTCCCCCCGTCTCGAGCACTCCTCGTTCAGACATGTAAATCACACCGCCACTAAGAGACCACGGAATATGCAACGGCCAAGTCAAGAGAAACCTCCAGCCTTTGAAAAGATGACGACTTGAGATTTGAAAGAGGCCCTCTCCCCCCTCAGAGACAGCATGGATTCCACAGACCAAGTCGCCCAAGCCTCCCTCCTCGACGTCAGCCCTTGCAAGCAACCGAGCAACACAACTGTTCGCACCAGGCGGGACGCATCAGTTCTATGCCCGAGCAAACAGCATCTCAAGTAACCTTCATCTCAAAATTCCCTGCGTGACGCCAAAATTTCAGTACTCTTGCGAAGTAGGGTTCATGATAACATGAAGCACAGGGAGGAATTGGTCACAAACCACATAGAACGCCCATGTTTTGACTTCTTTTTTATTTGAGTCCTGGCTACTAATACTGTAGTGGCTACAATAGACATGAAATATGCTGCATTCAGCCTCAGTATCAACAACTGTGGCATTCTGTCTGCGAATGGATGGTGTTCCGCCGAAGATCCTTTGCGGGCTTCAGTTATCCCGTAGCCTACGCAACAGACTGGTCCATTTCAACACCCCTCAGTCCTCCTCCCGCCCATATCCCAGACGTTGACCGTCTCTCGTAATGTGTCGATGCGATGATGATTGTGATCCTGCTCCCCCCGCTTGTATGCTCTGTGACTTGGATGAAAAAATGGGACCCATTCCCAACTCAAACATGGTATCATTGCTGTGCTTTCCCTTAAACGCCCCTTTTTGTGCCTCGTTGTAACGCCGATGAATGAAAAAAAGATGTTGTGAAAAGTGGGAGGTGATCAGTGTTGATAAACCCCAGTGGTGATGGGTGCGTGATGGTATTAGTGCCTAGTCATCGCCGTAGGCGGGCTGGTAACGGCAGGCGGCGGAGTCGAAGAAGACGTGGAGCCGGTAGCTGTGCCGTAATCCGGAGGCAGAGAGCCACGGCCGACGCCTGCTGTGCCGCCGATGGGCGGGGGCGGAGGCATGGCACCTCTCGCGGTGTGCTCGACGTGGTGTGCCATCTCGAAGCTACCCTCGCGAGCGTAAGCCTGACCCGGCTTTGCCTTGGGCTCATAGGCTGGAGGGGCTTCACCGAACTCGTCCAGGCCCTCATCGCTACGTGTGGTCCAGGCCCAGCGGCCGTTTCTCGACGACCGTTGACCTCTCTGACGATTCGCTTCCAAGTCGCGGCGGGGCCAGGGACGCTGCAGGCCGAGCTTGCGGAGACGGCGGCGGCGTTGAAACTGAACGAGAGTTGCGATGATGCCGAGGGCGAGGAAGACGATGAGCGGCGTGAGAATCCAGGTGTAAGGCATGTTGGAGAGCGAGTATGAGCTGCCCGTACTGCCGAGGGAACCATCAGAAGAAGACATGATGGATGTTGGTGGTTGGTAAAGCGAATGAGGGGTTGGCTGAGTAGAAGAGAGCGAATGACCAGAGATCGTCGAGCTCGGAGATCCGCGATTGGAGGGTTCAAGTAGGCGTGGCAGGAGCGATGACTGCCAATCGATGGATTTTGTGGTGAACGAGAGTTCTTTTTTCTTTCGCTCGATATGCCGAGATGACTTTGCGTCGTTGACTATTCTTGAGACCGAAGGGAAGGATCCTTGGCGCCGTATTGAACGGAACTACAAAGGCGTAGATGTCGAAACAGGGAAATAGTCGAGGTAGCTATGGTTGGGCAGGGGCGAGACGCTGGTCTTTCACGTCATCATAGCGTGGCTCAGGTTTGGCGGGAATTCGCTAGTGCTGTCTCGATCCAGCAAGCTTTTTGATAGCTGGTGAGCCTATGGCAGGTGCGGTGGAGCGGATTGAACGGAACAAGCTGCAGGAGCCAGGCCGGGAGATACGAGAAGGTGACGAGCTGGTGGGAAGACGTGGAGGCTGGACTCGAGAAGTTCGGGCAGATCGGACGCTTGATGGGTTGGTGGTTGACGCAAGCAAGGAGGGAGCTTGCGGGTTATGATTCAATGGGGTTCGTATTGCCACTGGTTGGTGGATAAGTCGGGTCCAATTGTTTTCTTGTCTTGATTGCAGGTCACCGGGGGAATGCAGATCGTTGCAGCACTGTCGATGTCCAGATAGAGATCGATTGGTTGGAAGTTTGGCGTTCAAGGGAGGGAGAGACGGCGTATCAAAAGATTGGATAGAAAAGAAAGGAAAAGAAGAGCGAAAGTCGAAGGGAGAGAAGAGTGTTTTCTGAGAAGAAATGGTGGCGGGGGGAGATATTGGATATTTGGCTGTAAAATGCCAAACACAACTCAATAGCGGAGGAGGTGAAAGTGGGAATTCCAGCGGTGCAGGGGCTGGAAGGAAGGAACCGAGAAATGAAGCAACGCGGGCGGGCAGGGCAGGCTGGCTGGATGTCCAAATGCGTGGTGGTGTCGTGGTGGTGAGGCCGGGAAATGGCTGGTGTTCCAAGGTTAGGTTGGGGTTGTTCTGTAGGGCGAGACAAGGTTGGCCAGGTAGTGTGTCCGTACGGAGTACCTAGGAGGGTTTTGGATGTGCGATATTCGTATCCGATAGCTCACGGATACAAGGCCGGAGGGAAGCTACTTTTAATTAAAGAACGGTAGCCAGGTACAGGAGGGCCGAGGAAGAGGAAGCTAACGATGCCCTGGGAATGGATAAAAAAGACGAGACGGCGATGGGCCTAGGGCGCAAGAGGAATGGCCGACGACCTCGGGAACGGCGTGCGAATGCGGACGGCTCCCGTGTGCGATTGCGAAGGGTGCGTTACTGGCGGCTGCACTGCATAAAAAGGTAAAACCAGACAGGATAGCCAAGGGTTTAGGACTTCAAGAGACGACAGCCGAGGGATAAAGATGGGGTGAAAAGAAGAGGGAGGGAGGGAGCAGATGGGAGGATGTATTTGGGACGAAGGGATGCGACGGCTGGACTCTATTGATGAGCTACGGATTCACCGTTCACGATGATATGTGCGTATATCCGTAAGCTATGGCTACGGATGCTTTCGTAGTGGCCGCGCAAATATTTGCACGTCAAGTGTCAAGTGTAGTGTCGAGGGTAATTACATGCAGCTCATGAGGATAATTTGCTCCGTAACCAGTGGACAGCTGCATGTGCAATGCCAAATGTGGACGCGGGAATCAGCGTAGCATCTCCTCTGGAGAACGGGGGCTGCGACGACGAGGAGCCAGTCAAGCAAGTCAAGATTTCAACCCCCCGTCAAACAGGAGGCACCCCTGACGACGCGATGCCAATCCTTAGGGGCAGCCTTGGCTACTTTTTGGGGGGGGATCGCACGTCATGAGCAACATGGTCGCAGACTCGCAGTATCGTGTTGAGCAGGGCAAGGTCTGCAGCGATTGTTGAAGAGATGAACCGGTCCGCCGGCCGAGTGCGAAATCGCGAAACAGACAAACATACCTTAAGGTAGGTAAGGAAGGTATGTGTAAACTCGCTCTTGCGTCTGATGGACACAGATACGTCGGCTGCTTACGTGTTCTGCTATTGCTAAGGCAATCGTACCTGCCTCGGCCCTTCCAGTTGCAGGCTTGCAGCACCTGGAAGTTTGGGGTCCCAGGGCGAGATTCGGGAGAGGTACCTGTTCTGCCCGCCCTGCATGGCGGCTCTGTGAGGTACCCACACCCGAGGTTCTCCGTCTCCTCCCAGGTGCAGCAGCTGGTGCATCCCGTCGGACTTGGCTTTCCCACTTTCCCTTCCTCGGGCGCCTTCCTTCAGCGTGCTGCGCCGGCCAAAATAAGGAAACTCTCACAACCTCCGTCGTGACTCGCTGACACCTCGCACATCGCGGTTGTTTCAGAGACTCCTCGCTTCGTTCCAAATCGCATAAGCTACCGCATGTCAAACGGAAAGCAAAAAAAAAAAAAAAAAAATCTAATATTTTTTTTTTTTTATTTTGCAAACAATTATGCAAACACAAACACATGCAGAAGTTTTTCCTACCTGAACAGCATTATTTCAAGTGTCCGTAAACATCCGTCCGACTGGGATGGGAGCGGCCGCAACCCACAGCCCGCAGGCTCAAATCCAGCTTGACCGACTCGCACTCGGGAGTTTGCAGACAGCTGAGGGAGAAAAAGACCACACAGCAAATGCACTCACGATTCCTTGCCTTGCCTGCGACCCAAAGCTTCAGACCTCTTCATTAAACTCGCCTCGGTATTTCCGTTTGGGAAATGTGTATTAGAGTGGCCAGGTTGAGCCCGGTTGGTGCCATTCGATAAGGAAACAGGTTTCGATTAACAGCCAGCCGCAGCTTACAGTCAGTCACTGGATGCAATTGCAAAGCTCACTCAACCAAAAGTCAGCTCCTTGCATTCCAAGACGCCTTTGCCCTTTTGTCAATTCCAAAAGACCGCCTGGCGGCTGGCGAGAAAATCTGTCAAAGTCAAGTTTTTGATTGCGTCTGTTCACGCGACCCTGGAGAAAAGAGGGTCCAGATGAGGTGTCAAGGGTCCGGACAGGGGTGCTTAAATTGGCCCTTGCACATCAGGACCGGATGGAGAGCTTGACTTAGATTCGACGGCCTGAGGCTGCTGTGAGGCAAGCACACTGGTGGATTGTGGGCAAACGAGGCACCTCAAGCAAGACACCTGATTGGTCGACCATGCCCCACTTGTTCTCTTCCAAATGTCATCGCCAACTCCAGGCAACTCATCGTCACTGCTCCGTCCACCTCATCAGCGAAGCAGGTAATTACGAATACCTCACGTTAGGCCCTCTTCAACACAGATATGCGTGAATAGCATCACTGCGTTCATACATAATTTACTCCACCCTTACTCACCTCGCCAACGAAACTGCCAGGATGCCCCGCGCCATCAGAGGTAAGATGTCTCCCACCACATGCTTGCCCTCTCTGCCCAGCCGCCCTTCCCCAGATATTTCCCCGGCCTACTAACATTCCCGCCCCGCCTTTCCAGGAGTCCTCATCGAGTGCGACCCCTCCATCAAGTCCATCATCGTTAATATCGACTCCAACAACCATGACTACATCATTGAGGATCTCGACGACCAGCACGTCGTTGTAAAGGAGAATATGGTTGGTTTGCTCAAGAGACAGCTCGATGAGGTTGGTAACCCATTTCCTTCTTCTACACACACATACATCACATGTGTTGATATATATATATATATATATATATATCAAGCAGACACATTGTTAACACACGTAACTTGCAGAGGTTGAAGGAGACCCAGCAGCCCGATGAGAGTTCAGACTCTGATTGAGTGCTAACGGAATCGGTGCATCAATTGTCTTTATTGTATATGCCTCCATTTGCTTCCGACTACTCCTCTACTGTGTCCTGGATACAATCGTCTCCCAAATTCTGGCTGCCATGCGCCTATCGCTGTGCTTTCCGCTGCAGCAGCATTCTCCGTTATGCGATCCTGGCTATCATGGCGCGTGTATACTGTATGGTTTGCGGGAGGGAATCATGATCCGTCCTGACCCGGGAATGTCTATGGGAATGGAATCCAAATAGCCTCACTCAAGGCCGCATCATTGTGGCAATACCACAAAAGTGCTGGCACACATTTGCCTACCTAAAGGGCGCCGACTAGAGCTTCTCAAAAGTAGGCTTCTTCTTCTGCAACCCGGACATCAAGGCAGTCTTGGTATCGCTTGATTGAAGCATGGCAGCGTTCCAAATAGTAGTGTACCGCAAGTCTAGAGCCAAACAGTCAGCAAAGTCAATGAAGAAATAAAGCCCAATTCCAGGGTACTGGAGAATACAAATGGGCATAGCCATTATCAAAAAATAAAAGACCAACTTACTCTCCGCAACAGAGTGATCTCTCGCATGGTTCAACAGCTCCTTGGTACCCTGCACCGCAACGGGGCTCTTGCTCGCGACGAACTCGGCCCACTTGGTTCCCGCAGCGACGGCGGCGTCCTTGGAGTCGTGCACCTGGCTGACGAAGCCCACGGCGAGTGCCTCTTCGGCGGAGAAGTCCCGCGCCGAGAGGCAGACGTCCTTCACCCACGACGTGGAACCGACGAGCTTGGGCAGCCGGCTGAGGGTGCCGAGGTCGGCGGCGAGGCCGATGTCGACTTCTTTTACGGCGAAGCGGGTGTTGCGCGCGGCGATGCGCACGTCGGCGCAGCATGAAATGTCGATCGCGATGCCGATTGAGATTCCGTGGAGGACGCAGACGACGGCTGGGGGGATGAATGTAAGCTTATATGGTCTCTCATAGTTTTATAGACTGGGCTGAGTTTTGACTTGGGATAATGAAGCATGCTCAACGTTCATCTTTGGACCATCCCAAGCCAATATCAAAACCGAGTAGAATTGAGGAACCTTATGCCATAATGGGTAGATTCCGAAATTTGAAACATGAAAAAACGAAAAGATAACATACGCTTCTCACACCCCTCCACGGCAGCGATAGCATCCTGGAACTCGGTAATGTGGCGGCGCATATTCGTCGCGTAGCGGGCCGGGTCGCCATTGAGATCCGCGCCGAGCGGGCTGTTGACGGCGTCCTGAACGTCGAGGCCCGCGGAGAAGGCGCGGTCGCCGGCGCCGGAGAGGACGACGGCGCGGACGTCCGGGTCGTGGCTGAGGCGGTCAAAGACGGTAGCGAACTCGCGCCATACGGGCTCGGAGAAGGCGTTGAGCTTCTGCGGGCGGTTGATCTCGACGTGGGCTACGAAGGGGGAAGGGGAGGTGACGAGGAAGTGGGTGTACGTGTAGTCTTTGAAGGGCGCCATTGTGTTATTTGTGTGTGTGTATGCCTGTTTTGCCTATGTATATGTAAGGTGAGGCGAGTGAGCGAAAGGGACTACTTGTGGTGAGGCTTTCGTGGTGTGAGGGGTGAGGCGGAGAGCTTGATGAGACTCTCAATGTGAAGATGTCCAACCAAGGTATGCAAGAGGCGAGAATTCGTTGTGCGGGTATGGTACAATTCGGGAACCGGCGAATTCTTGGGATGAGCGTGGCAGAGTTGAAAGTGAATCTCACTCAAATGTAGAGATGACAGGATGTTGCGAATGCGATGATGAGGTTTCGAAGAGGCTGACTGGACGGGGGGCTGGCCGAGTTGCCGAGGCACGTCTCGCAGGCGTTTTCCCCGACCCGACCGAGGGGTGGCCCCGCCTGATCTGGGGTAAACGTTACACACGCCGGGGTGGGGTTATTGATTGCACTTCTCTTTTTTTGCTTCTGACAACGCAAGTGATCTTATGTAATGAAGACATTTCGAGGTCTCTTGCTGTTCGAGGCGGGATCTCAAGTGGCGTACCAATGGATCTTTTAATCGAGGTGAATGGTTTCATTCGGAGCGAATCCCTGGATGTATGAGTCTTCCCTATCTCTCGGCTTCGAAATTTCGGCTGTGCTCAATCGGCCCTCTCTAGGGGATGATCGTCGTGCCTCTAGAATGAGAAGACTTCGCCCATCATTTTGATTTCATTGACAAGTCATGTCTAGTTTCTGGTCCTCGGCTTATTCTAGCAAGAAGTCTCGTTGTCCAACTTGCGAGACTGACTCTCACCTTTCGGGCTTAGCTGAAGGAGGTACGCGTCTCTGAACGAGAGATTAAGCTTCGTTGGATTCCAGTGCGTTATGGCATCCTTGAACTGATCTACTAGGATAAATAAACGACGTGAACCCAAACCTCCATCATTAGCCATGCTAGTCCTTTCTGGGGGTGTCAAACTGCCTCAACCCCTCACTACGTCGGCTCAAACCACATCACTGGGTGGGAGGTATGACCGGATGACTCACACTGCAACCCCAAACCACCGATAGCTTGGCGTTTTATGGGATGTACACAACAGCATTCGAGGCCGTCTTCTCACATCGATGGCCTTGATAAGAGTCCTCGTATTGGAATATGAAAATGAAGAGGGGGGTTGGACAAAGTTCTAGAGCGAAGTCTCGAGTAAAATATTATTTACACAATTTTGCTATACGCTGCTTGTTCAATACTAATAAGGCTTATGCCGAGCCACGAGTATTGTTTGAAGCAGAACCTGAAGACAAGTTAGCGACCAGCCTCCTATACAGCCATGTCCTAAGTAGTACAGAGTCTGAATATCCAGGAAATCAGATTAGAGGCGAAACCGGTGCCATAGACGGTATCCTCATTGTAGGTTCAGTACGGCGAGTGAATGTCCAATATCATCATCTCTTGGAGTATCTCATGCATGTGCAGGAAACGGAGCTCACTGACCTTCCTCAACAACTTCTTCGATGGACTCATTGCTGTGCTGCTTGAAGTCTTCATAGTAAAGGCGCGCTTTGCAGGCATCTTATATAATTGAGTGCCTATGTGGCTACATCACAGGCTCTCCCGGTTGATTTGAGGTATCTCCAGTAAACTAAGGCTTGGAGGGTTGGTGGAGGGTCAGATCCGGGGACCAAGGGGCTCGCCGTATGAGTCAACCGGTCAACGAATCAGTGCTCGTCTGTCCAAGCAAGGCTGTCCCACGGCTATTGCAACCATCAGAGGTTGCGAGATGACAATCACCGAGCACCTTTATCATCGGGTGGAAACGTAGTGCATGATCACCAACAGCATACATGAATTATACCAGCGGAACACAACAGCAGAACGCAACGAGGGTTGTTATCTTGACGTATCCATGTACTTTCGATCTCCAGAAAAGCATACATGTACTTCATCGTCGTCCAGCTCTTGGGAGCAAGATAGGTACCTACCTGTACAACATGATTCAAACGCTGGGGATGGAAGGTACGTTTCAACAGGTACCCCCTTCTCGTCTTCAAATTGTCATCATTTTTACTTGGCGGAAGGAGCCTACCCGGCCACATGTTGGTGCTCGTAGAAGGCGCAGGGAAGAGTGACAATGACTACAAGCGCTGTCAATAGATCGACCCTCCGATTTCGTCGTCAACACCATCATCCTCTCGACAACCTCCCCAGTTCCTTGACCTCCTATCAAAAGGAACTTCCCTAGAATCGCTCCACCCTTCACACGGATTATTCATCATTACTGCGCTTATCAAATGCTCATGCATCCCATTTTTTGAACTTCATGTCTAACGCCACAAGGACTCGGTCTCTGACGCCACCGACCGAAGTCCAGCGGCTGACGGACCCCAGAACGTCGACTTACAAGCAAACGGCTTTGCGACGCTACAGTTCCGCAGAAAAGCTTGGCAGCAGACCTCGTAGTGTCAGATCCCGATCTTCAGATTCGCCGCCGACCACTTTCCGCCTCGGTTTCTGCTGCCCCTCACAGGCCGAGCTTGCACTGAATCCCAAACCAAAGGAGGAGAAGCCGGCGATGTTATCCAACTTCTTCCATCCGACCAAAGATATTGTACATCGAAATCGAGAGCCGTCCAACGCAACCGGAGGAGACTTCGAGGACACACCTCTTCCTAGCGCTCGACCTTCTATGATGGACACATCCCTCAAGAATACCGAAAAGGACGTCGCTTCAAGTTTCTCTTCGGCGAAAAGTGGTAAATTCAGACATGCACTCCTCAAGACCGCTTCCGGGCGCCCCTTGTTGGTTGACAAAGATTTACCCGTGCCCCCGGTCCTTAGTCGACAAGTTAGCGAGAGCCAATTGCGGAACCCACGAGAAGACATAGATAGCTTTGAGAACAAGGCAAAGATTGCCATTCCATCGAGAAAGTACTCGCCTTCCCAGATGCAAGACAATCTTGTACCTACTGTCAGTCAACGTCTCATGGAGACCACGACCAACGTCGACCCTTACTTTCCCCGGGAAACCATCTGCGTTGATCCTCTAATCCATCCGGATGAGTCTCATACCAAGGTCCACCACCGTGGTATCCTCAAAGGTGCTGACTTCTGTGACGCCGGTGTGCCTGGACAACCTGTTCCACAGCAACTTGAGAACAGGATATCTAGCTCTTCTTCTTCGTCGTCATCTGCCTCTTCGGAGGCTGAAATTGTTCTTGCCAAGGTTCGCCGAGCTATGACTGGAGATGATCTTTGTCTCTCTACTGTCGAAGTCACCGTCCCAAAGCATGATGGACACAGCCATGCCATGAAGGTTCGGCCAGCTTTCAATCTACCAACCTTTCAGTATCCAAACATAGGTCGCCAAAAACAATCTCCTCTCGGAGTCTCCAAGGTCCGGTCGTTTGACCCAGCCAAGGAACATTTGTTGCCTGAAGGGGATATCATTGGACCGACAGAAATCGAAGCTGAAGAGAGCAAGGACAGGCCGACCAACATACCGGTCTCCAAAGTTCGACCCTTTGCCCAAGAACCCCCCGAGCTGAATCATCATGCTGGACATCAAGGAGTATCAAAAGTTCGGCCCTTCAGTGACGAACCTGACAACGGCAATCAAAAAGACAAGGATGCCTATTTTGCCGTCGGATCAGATGAGTCGGCAAGTGAGGGGCCCGCCAGATTCATCAAGCCACGTTCGGAGAGTACAACTCGCTCCCGAGCAAGCACTATAGACTACAAGCGAACTGCTCAGTGGCTCCGGCATCTACTGAAAAATCCCGAATCTCATACGACCAAATTGACGGAAAGGCCATCCAAGGCAGAAAGAGCGTCCTATGCTTCCTTGAAGAACTCTCGGGAACAAAGCTCAGTGTCTCGGAAGATGACCCGTCAACCGACGCTTCCGACTACCGAAGTTGAACAGGGGTTTTTCCAAAACACTTTCGGGGAGCTAGAACGTCTCCTTCAAGAAGCTTTGGCACTGGCTTCTCGGGTTGCTGACGACGAAGAGGCGAAATCTCCGCACCCTGTCTCAAAGGAAGCCACCCCCTATGATGACGCCTCTCAGTTCTCTGACATCGACTTGAATGATGATGGTAAAGCAAAAGAACCGCGAAAAAAACGCGCTGCTACGTTTCCGCATGCCGGGCGGCCTGAAACCCGTGCAGTAGACAATCTCTACCGTACTATTTCTCTCACTCCGCAGACCCCAGAGCTCGAGAGCATGCTTGGTCGTAAGAGTACAGTTGTCAAGAAAACCAAACGCAGACGCAAATCGCGATCCCGGCAAGCTGGACCTGTGCCAGACAGAGTTTCGAGAAGGAAGAGGAGCAAGAGCGTAAAGAAATCGAAGCGCACAAAGCCAAAGCAGATTGTCGAGCAACTCCCGACAGATTCAGAGTCTAGCATGGACGGATCCAATGACTCCTCTGCAGTCAACTTTCCGACTCGAAATCAAGCTCAAGGAAGCAGCGAGCCGACTCGACCTCGAGCAAGCACGAAACGGGTACCCTTCTTATCCCGCAACACAGGCGAGGACAATCTTCCTCGGGAGGACTTGGGCGGCCGTCTGATCCGTAATCCACGAGGAATTAGCCTACGTGGCAAGTCTCATGTCAGTCTGCGTGGTGTACAAGGCTTCAGTCTAGCCAAGTCGAAAAGACGTCAGCCCATTGCTCGGGACTGGTCACCAGTCCGGAAGAGAGCCATCGCGGCTGTGGCTTGCATCAGTACGGCACTGATCGGTATGATTATCGGCATCTATGCCGGTCTAGTACCCTCACTACAATACTACATCCTAGACACAAGCCACTCGATCATCAACGGCAATGTGGGCTGCTTTCTTGGGATGGCAATTCCCACATTCTTTTGCTGGCCACTTCCTCTGGTTCATGGGCGTAAGCCATACATCACGACTGGGCTGATTCTATCCATGCCACTTCTTTTCCCTCAGGCTTTGGCTGTAAGTGCTCAAAGATTTTACAACCTCGCTGGATAGAGAATGGCGTTGTTGGTACCGCGAGGCTTCATGGGTATCTGCCTCGGTTTTGCAAGCATGAATTTTCACTCGATACTCACAGACCTTTTCGGCGCATCTCTCATGAGCAGCAATCCTCATCAAGAGGTTGTGGATGACTCGGATGTAAGGAGGCACGGAGGTGGTATGGGTGTCTGGCTCGGTATCTGGACATGCTGCTACATTGCATCTCTTGGCTTTGGTTTCCTCATTGGCGCCGCAGTGATCGATCAACTCCCACCGGATTCCGGTTTCTATATCAGCATCGCTCTGACCGCAACCGCCCTTTTGCTGAACACTCTATGTCCAGAGGTGCGTCGTTCGGCGTTCCGAAGATCGGTCGTGGAAGTCAGAACTGGCACAGATATTTCCCGGCGTGTTGCTCGTGGCGAAATCATGATGCATCGTGTTAAAACTGGACCCAAGTGGTGGGGCCAGGAGTTGTATCATGGTGTCGCACTCTGCTTTGAGATGCTTCGACAACCTGGTTTCGCTGTTATGGCCATTTACTCTGGTTGGATTTACGCCCAGGTGGTTCTCATCATCGTCTTGCTGGGCTCCCTGACTTCAAGATTTTACCGAATGCGGTCACCATTTGTCGGGCTCATGGTATCGGCGATAGCATTTGGCGCACTCGCTGCCATCCCATTCCAAAAGGCCAGTTACTTCTCCAGAGCGAGACATACCCAGGTAAACACCAGTCGTATGACATTCGACAAACAGGTAACATGGACATCTCACCTTCTTCGCCGATCCATATTCGCCATTGGCCTCCCACTGGCTGGGATCGTCTACACATTGGTTTCGACTGGCCCACCGATGCATCCTATTGCGCCTGCCATTGTCGCCGCTGCAATCGGCTTTCTTTCGTGCCTGGCAATCTCAGAATGCAATGGACTCATCATGGAAACCTTTGACACTTCGGATCTACAATCTGGTATGACTGGTCGGCCTCGAGGAAATTCAGACAACGCACAGAAGAGGAAAAATTACTCTGCCTACCCTCGCGTGACTGCCGGGTTTGCCGTTTGTCACACCTTGGGGTTCATATTCGCTGCTGGAGCAACTGCACTAGGCGGTATGGCCCAGCGTAACCTCGGTCAGAGAGCAGCAACGGGAGTTGTAGCTGGAATCTTGTTCATTTTGACACTGCTACTAACCTTGACTCTGATTCGGTTCAAGGAGGTCACGATCATTCCGGAGAGCAAGACCGAGGCGATGGATAGGTGGACAGCTGCGCGCAGAGAATCTATCAAACGCCGCGACTCGATGCCAACTGGTGTAATGGACGACAAAGATGTCATCGCTGAAGAAGAGCCGTGGCGTCCGTTTATTGTTGGTAATCCCACCAGCAAAACACGGCGAGTCAACGTCCTTGAGCTCGGTAGTCTATCACGTTTCACGGAGATCAGGAAGAGGAACAAACTCATAGACGCCAACCAGCACCTGAACCGAGCAGCTTTCGATGCTGGGATAGATGCTCTTGACGACCAAATCAGCGATGTCATGAGTGATATCGTTGACGATGTCAAAGACCTTGTGAGAAGAGGTAGTCAGAGGAGTCAAAGAAGCCAACGGAGTCAGCGAAGCCAGCGAAGCCAGCGAAGCCAGCATAACCGGACCTCACGTTCGCGGCGAAACCATCGAAGTGCGACAAGCGATGGAAGTGGACACTCTTCTATTGAGATGACCTCTCTGGAGGACGTCATGTCAGGAGGGCATCGGCCCCGATTGCCTGAGGATGTCTACAGTGAACGAGAATGCCTTAGAGGTCAAATGGTCAAGGAAGAGTAAGAGACAAGATTGCAGGGCTTCGGTACGAGATGAATGTAGAATTTCCTACGAGCAGAAGAGGCCGTCTCCAGGACGGGATTGCATGAGAGCACCTATGATGACGAGCAGACACTATTGACGGAAGAAAGACCAAAACTTCATAGTCAATGTACCTTAGTATACACAATATTGGTAGAAGAGCTAGAATGAAAAATCCTTTTTTCGGAAACCAACTCCGGTAATGCAAGCCCATCTGCCGAGTATCTTCATCTACATTCGCCCTTCGTCCATCTTATCAATATTATCAGATCTAAAGAGAGTAGTGAAAAGGAAAGTGCTACTGATACAGATATGCAAAAGAAAATGTCCATATATATCGTAGAGAGTGTGGGTATAGATGGTTCTTTGTCTTCGTCACGTATAAGAATAGGGAAAAAAATGATGGTGGTTATAGTCCTTTCCTATAGTTCTCGTCCAAGGTGACACGGAATGCAAACTTTGTCAACTTTGGATCACTGCACATTCAAAAACAGGTCATCGCCCCGTCGAGTAGGCGTCAGCTTCGGCTGCCAGGTCGGCGTAGCGGGCAAGTGACCACCGCGCCCGGCACCACCACCACCGCCAGTCCGGGATGGGAACCCAGGAGGTGTAGGGAAGAGAGCGGCGTCGGGGGAGAGGAGCATATCCGTTCCGTCTCCGTTGCCTCCTGGGCGAACGGGTCTCCAGTTGGGACTGTGGCGGAGGCCGGCGTTGGGGAGGGCCAGGGCGGCGGCGCGTTCGGAGCCGAGGCGTTTGGAGAGGAGGGAAGATGTTGTTGAGGGGGTTGCGACGGTGGGGGAGGCGGCTGTCGAGGCGGAGGGGGGACGGATTGTTGGCGGTGGTGGTGGTGGTTGTAGGATTGTCGAGGTTGGTCGGATGGCTTGGGTTGCGATGTGGTGCGGTGATGGGGAGGCGGAGGATGGTCTTTCCGGGAGGGGCTGTTTTGGGGGCGGGGATTTGGGGGGGAGGGGTTGTTGGATGGATTGGCGGTTTGGTTGTTGCTGTGAGAGGCGGCGTTGACGTTGTTGGAAGGATTGTTGGTTTAGCTGTTGCTGGGGCTGCTGCTGCTGTCTCTGCTGAGGAGGTTGAGGCTGCTGCTGCTGTGACGGGAGACCAGAGTAGGGGGCTGGCTTCTGCTGCTGTTGTTGCTGCTGTTGCTGCTGCTGGGCACGAGGAGGGAGGTTCCCCCAGAGCGCCTTGTGGACCGAAGCCGACTGAGGCTCCTGGTTAAGAAGAGGCGCCTGCTGGACTTGCGCGGCCTGCGGTTGCGGGTGGATGTCGTCGTTGCGCTCGAGCCTGGGCCGTTTGGGGTTCAGAGGCGGCGGATAGAGGGGTCTCATCTGCGGCGGCCTCTGGGTTTGCGCGGGCTCCCAGTGGGGTTCTTGCTGGAGGCCTTGGGAATTGTTCCTGTTGCTGTCGGAGGAGGAGGAACGGGGAGGAGAAGGGGTCACGAGGCGGAGCGAGGGCGAGCCAGTGGCGATCCTGCTCGGGTCGGCGACGGGGCCGGGTGGACGGGGGCGAGGGCCGACGGGTTTACGGGGCACGTCGTGGCTGGCCATGTATGGTCCGTTTCGGGACTGTTGCTGCTGCTGCTGTTGCTGCATCATCCCGAGCGTGGGACTGGGCTGTCCGGCGGGAAACGCAGCAAAAGGCCGAGCGGGAGGAGCCAGCAGGCGGAGGTTATTGTAGCCGGGCTTGGAGCTCGTGCGGCCGGGAATCACGGGGTAAGAGACGGGTGAATGTCCGACATTTGGGGATCCCCTTGAGGCAGGTGACTCCACGACAGGGGAGAGACCGCTTTGCTCAATTACGGGCTCGGCCTCGCTCGCGACGGAGGACGCGATCGTTGTGGCTGATGCGTGGGAGTCGTGGCTGTCCGACCGATGTGGAGGGTTTCCAGCGCCTGTAGAGACTGATGCAGCGGGAGGAGGGAAGGGGGCAGTGCCGGACCCTGTAGATTTCGACTTTGATGAGCTGCGGCGGCCGAGAGAGTTACTCCGGCGGCGTGGAGGCTCGGGATGAGAGAATGACATGCTCGGCACCGGGTGGGGAGCTCCGGCAAACGGTGGAAGAGCGCTGTTCTGGATGACCGTGTTGGGTCTCGTGTTGGCAGGCGAGTAGACGCTCGAGGTTCGGGATTGGTGAGCCGCGGGCGGAGCGGCAAGGGCACCGGTTCGAGCGATCTCGACAGGCGGAAGAAGAACCGGGGGTGGTGGCATCATCCGGGGACCGGAGGGAGCAACGGGGCTTCCGGCTCCGTGGCCCATGCCGGCGGTAGTGGCCGTGGCCGCAAGCATGGCAGACTCGGCGTAGGAAGGTTTCGCTTTGGCGCCACCTCCCTGGCTCGCGCCCGAGGCGTCGAGCTCGGCGATCTGTGCCATGTGTGTAGCGCTCTTGGGGTCCCCTAGGACCCAGTTGCCGTTCTTGTCTGCTACGTAGTACGTGGCAGACTTGGGAACGTTGTTGCTGCCCACTGTTGCTGAGGGTGGTCTCCAGATGTTATTTGAGCGAGCCGAACGAGCCGAGGTGATGGCGCCGTCCTCTTCAAATTCTGTCATTGTGCTTTCGCGAGCATTATAATGACTCTTTGGAGGCGCTGTGAGCTTGGCCGTCTTGAAGATTTGCGAGTTTGTTGGTGCAGATCCGCTTTGGTCCGCCCGAGGAAGTGACGACGGTGTGAGGTCTATCTCGGGAATCTTGAGGGAGAGTACCGGCTTTGGTGACGAAAGAGACGGCTTGGCTGGGAGGAGACGTGACGTTGGGCGGTTCTGCGCCTGAGGTGACGGACGGTAGGCAGCTGATGTGCTCTCAGGCCGGGAGACGGCAAGGCCGATTGCGCCGGGCCACCAGCTCATGCGACCGCTTGTCCGGGTACGCGCCGCCGGGGGCTGGCGTAATGGTGGCGGAGAAGGGGATTGCGCATGGTGGACAGGCGGAGAAATGTGAAAGATGTTGGCGGGGCCCTCTTGCGGGTGGAACTCCCAAGAGTCCTTCTCTCGCACGGGGAAGAAGCCCGTCTTTTCATCCGGGTAGTCCTTTCTGCGCTTGCGGCGGGCGAAGCATATGGCGAGGATGGCAATCCCGAGGGCAGCTGCAATACCGACTGCGAGACCTGCCACTTGGGCGGTGCCCAAGCTCTTGGAGGTGCCGGCGTCGGCGCCCTCAGCTCCTGGGATTGCAGTTGCAGATGCGGAAGGTGTCGCTGTGGAGGATGACGGCAATGGCGGTGGTGTAACAATGCTATCCGTAGTAGAAGCTTGAGGTACAGTAGAGGTAGCGAACGTTGTAGACGTATTTGGGATGGACGGTGTGCCTGTTGCCGAGATGAGAGTCGTCGGAATCGAAGTCGTGAGATGGCTCGTCGATGTTGATAAGGCGGTCCTTGTGGTTGTCCTTGGGGGAACGAGGATGATACCTCCAGAGGAAGGAATAATCAACGTTGCAATGATGGCTGTGTGTGTGGGCTGAACAGCCCCCGGTTGGTTCGAGCACATCAGGTATGCTGCGTCGATCACAGTCTCTACTGCTTGTTAGAGTCCGTGTCATGATCGATATCAAGAACGCGATTTACGTACGCGGCGCATCACTTTCGCGACAGAAACCTATGCCCTTCTCTGCGACGATACACTGCACAGCACCCTCCCCTAAAGTGAGGCCTGAGAAGCCAACATTGGCACACAGACATTGCAGAGTGGGAGCACTGCCGCAGGTGGAGAGGTCGTAGTTGGCAGTCAGATGAGAACGGAAGCATTCGCGGGCACACGTTGGTACGAATCGCGTAATCTCGCTCGACAGGTTGAACGACGTCGCCGTGGTGAGGGAGGCCGGTAGTGTGAGTAAGAGTGTCCAAAGAAGAGACTTGAGGGCCATTGTACGGGAGGACATCTAAGAAGCCAAGTCAGCGTCGCTATATGTAAGGAAAGACAAAATGTTGCTTACTTGAATGAAGGTCCCATCCTTCATACGGTCTGTTGACAACCAACTAAGTCTGAAGAGGCGTCAGTGAATGGTAGAGGCGGGTAGACAAAGAAGGTCTGGAAATCAATAGTCTCAAGAGTAGACCGTGTATGAGCCTAATTGGGATGACCGACAAACTGGGAAACGAACCTATCGAGAGTGTGTTCTTATTAGGTTATTAAGAGACGACCCGCATCTCAAGATCGTATAGTATATGAGAGAGTCAAGAAGGTACTGTGGATAGAGTATCACCCGATTATTCCAAGAGTATCAGCTGCGGAAAGATTCAGCCGAGAAGAGACAAGAAAAGAAAGAGGCTATTCCATGCGACCAAAATGCAAGGTGTGTAAAAGAAGAAGCTGAGCAAAAGCTAAAATTGAGAACAGACGGCTTTGGGGGCTCAGCAGCGGGCATGTAACTGTTCATACATGAATGGAGGCGGTCCCAAGAAAGAAGGAGAAAGAAGGTTGACGCGGGCAGAAGGGAACACTGGTGCCTCTTCCGTCATACCCCAAAGAGACACGCTGACGCTCACTTGGAGGCTCTCGACTTCGACCGCGCTTCGCTTCGCTTTTCCTGTGACTTCATCCGGAAACGCCATAATCTCGTTGCGACGGAAGTGGACGACGGGTAGGTAGTCCAATGCCCTGCCTCACTATGCCGCCAACCTGCAGCGTTGGATGCGGTTCCTGCAGTCACGTCCACAGCGGCCCGGTCTGCTCGCGAGCCGCTGCTGGAGATCTCGTTGAAATGACGAAGGCCAGACAATTCGGGGCCCATCCGAGTCCGTTTCGGGCGGGTGACACCCCGGCTGGTTGGTTGGGCGAGTCGCCCTATTTTCGTTCTGGGGGGAGGTTTGCAAGTTGCATCTAAGATCCAGAGTTGTGTGGCGGTCCAGGCCAGAATGTAACCCCTACTGCATACCATCATACCAGACCGAGCAGGTCGAGTACCCAATGAAGATGCACCTGTTGAACAGATGCATGTCCATTGAGTGGCTGAGGTGCTCCCGCATCGCCCCCGAATTTAAGCGCCCAGTCTCCTCCTAAGCGCGGAGGCCGAACAAGAAACCAAAAGACGTTGAAGCGAACCGCCCCGAAAACGGGCGCCAAAACGGCCGACTGCATCACGTGACGCAGATCATAGCCATCGCAGACCAATGAATGATCATACTTAGCCAGACTCAGTAGTTGAGTGTCAGACGTAGTCGCTGGCCAGTTGTTTCTCGATATCCTTCCCATGGTGTGACTGCCTCCTTCGTTTCGAAAATCACAACTTTGAGATTGATGGATGTGATTGACTCTGCAGTCCTCAGACAACAAGAGTTGTTCATGCGACGTGAGCGAGTCCTGCCGCTCTTGACTGGGTACCACGACTGAGCTTGACACGCTCCTCCAACGTAAACATCCGCCATGAGGCATCGATGCGACATACTGACTTGAAGTCACATATAGACCCCAAGCCTTCTCGGAGCCGCTGCACTTGTCTAACTCAGCTCTTGCATTTCTGAGTAGAACGCAGCATCGCGGCGGCCGAGCAGTGATGCGAACTGCTGCAAGCTAGCCACCCCCAACGCAACCTCGCATCCTACCGACCATCCCGAAGGTCTAATGCATGGTCCCGTTATCACCGCTGTTATCAGACCACTGCATGGTTGCAGTGGATATCGTGTCCCAAAGAACCGCATCCGGTATCGGTGTTTGTTAGCTGAATTCTAGCGAAGCCACCAGGTACGCAGGGTCGAAGGGTGCAATTCAGCCGATCAAAATGATCAGCCTGAAGATCATTATTAGTGTTTAGGAATTTCCGTTGTCTCCATTCATGGTATCTCATTTTTCGTAGCCTCTGCTGAGAGGCTTATGACCTCATCTGAGGCCTTCCGCATTTACACCTTGTCCCAGAATGACAACCATTTTAAAACGGGTCCTCCATAGTCTGAAGTGCCAGATTTATCCGCTGGGGCCCTCCGTTCATATCACGCACTGTCTTTCCCTCAACAACCAACTAAGCGATCAATCAGTACTAAGACTTGACGCTGGCATCGGTCGCGCTGGGTGCGAATGCAGCCTTGGCGCGGTTGGACTTGATGACCTTCTGCACGTCTTCCTCGGTCTGGTCCCAGTCGTTGGCATCGAGCTGGACGAGATCAATCTCGTACAAATCTGCGATATTCTTGAGGGCATAGAAACTCTTCTTATCGTAGACGAAGCTGATGCTCACACCGATGCGGCCGAAACGTCCTGTGCGGCCAATGCGGTGCAGGTAGGTCTCAGGGTCAGGCTCCGAATCTCCACGTCCCTTCATGGGGATATCGTAGTTGATGACCATGGAAACACTGGACACATCGATGCCGCGGGCCAACACGTTGGTGGTGAGGAGCACCTTGGACTGGCCGGTTCTGAACTCCTCCAAGAGACGATCGCGCTCTGGGCCGTCCTTGGCACCGTGAAGGGCGGAAACACGATGGCCGTCCGCCTCCATTCTGCGCTTAATCTCGTCCGCACTTTCACGAGTCTGCATTGCGTGGTTAGTCAGGCTCAAGCTTCCGAGATTACGTCGGTCTTACCTTGACGAAGATGACGGAGGAGCCAATGGTCATGAGACCGTACAGCTTCACCAGCACCTCGTACTTGTCCTGCTCGGTAGGGCAATCGATGTACATCTGAGAAATGCCCTTGACGGTGAGCTCGGTGTGCTTCAAACGGATTTGATCAGCCTTGGGCGCAAATTTCTCGGCGAAGCCCATGACCTTGTCAGGGAAGGTGGCGGAGAACAGAAGGATCTGGATGTCGCGGGGCAGCATGCTGTTATCATTAGCCCAGTTCTCAACAGATAGATTCAGAGGCCAACTTACTTCTTAACACGGAGGCACTGCTCGCCCAGACCTTGCTGGTCCAACATGTTGTCGGCCTCGTCAATAACGAGGAGCCGAAGCTTGGAGACATCCAGCTGACGTCTACGGATGATGTCCATGACGGTACCAGGTGTTCCAACAATGACATTGGCTCTGACAGGGGCATTACGCTCCAAAGCACCAGGAAGAGCTGCAGCAACGTTGAGACCCTCGCAGAACTTGCCGATGTTGCGCACAACGCCCTCAATCTGACGAGCAAGCTCGCGACTGGGAGCCAGCATCAGTGCCTGGGGTTGCTCGAGCTGTGAGAAGTCGACTCGCGACAGGGTAGTAACGACAAAGGCAGCCGTCTTGCCAGTTCCAGATTGCGACTGGGCAATCATGTTCCGGGGGGGATCGGTCAGCATCAAGGGAAGGGCCTTCTCCTGAATCTTGGAGGGCTTTTGGTAGTTGAGGGAAAGAAGACCACGAAGAATCTCGTCGCGACTGCACCATCGCGTATTAGAAACCTGCAAGCATTCGACTCGACTGTGGACTCACAGGTTCATTTCGGCAAAGGTTGAGACCGAGTAGAGAGTGCTGTTCTGGTCGGACTGGAGGTCGCCGAGCTTGACGTCGACATCGTAGGTATTCTCGATAAGACCAGAGTCTACGGCGCCGTCGGCCTGAGGGACTTCAGCTTCCTGGGCTTCATGGACCTCCTGAGGAGCTTCCGGAGCCGCGCCCTCGGCCGGCGGCTCTGTGATGCGACTAGCAAGGTCGGCCATCGTGACTGAGGATAGGCGCGGTCAAGTGTGGGTTCTGAAGGAAGGGGCGTTAGAAATCGACTATGTAGTCAGCGAACAATAGTCGAAAGTCTTACTTGGCGGTTGGTCGAGGATTGGTGGCAGTCAAAGGGAAGTAGCGGTATGATCAGCCGTCACCTGTGCGGCTTCAAAAGCAGGTTAGCGAATGGCAACATTACGAGTCTGGGGACGAGACTCAATTGGAGAGGGCCGGAAGCAGAACGAGGAATTGACTTACATGCGATTGGGCTGGTCTTTCCCTGCGTGGTTGTGTGAACCGGGCAGGTCAGTCGGGGAATTTTGTTTGTTTTGCGATGACGGATTTGGAGCTTCCAAACCAAAATTAATTCTAGGAAGCTACGTCGTCTGTCACTCCTGCCTGTGACTGAGCACTCCAAACCGATGGCGGGGCTACGCGGGGCATTTTTGTCGCCTAACAACCAAGGCCTGAGTCAGGAACGGAAAGCTCACCTTCCCACCGACATTTAACCGACAAGGGTGGCTTAAGAGTGCGCCTACCTTAGCTGAAGCTCAGGTGGGTGGCTGAGGTAAGGCAAAAGGAAGGGACTCATGGCTTTCAAGGTAGGTACCTACCTGATCATTGATGCACCTTCTACAGTATTTAGACATAGCACGTGACATGACTTTCGATATACTACGGCCAAACACATAACTGAGCCTAAGAGCTTCAGGCCATTGGGGTTTCCTTGTTCACGGGCCATTCTTTTCGTTGGAGTACGACGTCATTCATGCGATCAGCAGTGTGTGATGTTGAGCCTTGAGGTGAATACCAGCAAACGGCATGGAATTATTCAATCTCCGGCGCATCCATCGAGCATAGCGAACCCCACCAGACTTTCGTGCAGCTTGGGGAACCCGAATCCGAAACCCCTGTACTCAGGCACCAATGGCACCAATGAGTGGATTTCGCAGCAGGCGACCGGTCCGCTACCCCACCACAGGCCTCTTCAGCGTGCAAGAACACCCAGAGCATTTGCCCTCCCTCCAAGCCTCCAGCCTCCAGGTACCTCACCTAGTGGACCGAGCAGCCGGAGAAACACACCAGTGCAGCAAAGGAAGGTTCCAGTTGGCCAAGGGGAAGAGCTGACGACGTCTCCGTCCGATGTCAATGCCCCAAAGCATCCGACCTCAACGTACCTCTACAGCCAAAACGCTCGCCAGTGATACATCGAAATTCTTCCAAGGTTTGGTTGTGTGAGCAGCCCAGCGCAGCACAGCCTGACCTCTTCTGTCCCTTTGTCACTGATGAAGATCATCGTCTCGTAGGACCTCTACCCACCCGTGTCTCCAAGGTGAGGCATACACCTTTATCTCAGGTATTCGCTGTACATATCATTCGGGCGGCCTGCGCCTCCTGCTAGCATTCATCTACTGTTTCTGCCCAGTTTTCTCCCAGTTTTAACCGTTTTGGCGGGGTTAGCCTTATACGACTGCTCCCCCACCGCCGACCTCCTGCTCGGGCCGCAGCCCACCGTTGGCGGTTTGTCCTCTTCTCGTTCTCGCTCCTTCGGAGGATTCCATCACGAATCCCTCTCGCCTCCTCCCAACAACACCTTTGGCTGTCGCACTCAATCTAAACCGACCTATTGGATCCCCAACCTTTGCATGCTGTTTCAACAGCATAAGTCTGGACAATGGCGGACGTAGATGTTGCGCCGACCTTCGGCGCTGAGCTCAAGGTCCGTTTTCCGCGCGCAGTTTCCCCCGCGGCTTGGCTTGGCCCCTCCAGACGCTGACATGTCCTTTAGGATGGCTTCAAGCCCGCCAACACTTGGGTTGCTCACGGCATATCCTGGCTCGACGAAATACAGCAATTCTACCGCGAAAGGAGTGCCATCGAAAAGGAATATGCTGCGAAGCTCAATGCCTTGGCCAAGAAGTACTTCGAAAAGAAGAACAAGAAGTCAGCGCCTCTCAGCGTCGGCGACACCCCCGCCATGACACCAGGTTCTCTCGAAAGCGCCTCCTTGACTACCTGGTCTACGCAGCTTACTACACTCGAATCCCGAGCCGACGAACACGATCGATACGGCAACAACCTCCTCTCTCAAGTGGCTGAACCTCTCAAGTTCCTCGGCACCCGTTTCGAAGAGCTGCGCAAGCGTCATGCCGACTATGCCGGCAAACTCGAACACGAAAGGGATTCTCAATACGCGGACCTGCGCAAGACAAAGGCCAAATACGATGCTGCTTGTCAGGAAGTGGAAAGCAAGCGCAAAAAGTCTGAATCGTCCTTTGACAAGGCCAAAGCGCAGAGCGCCTATCAGCAGCAGATTCTAGACATGAACAACGTCAAGAACACCTACTTGATCGCAATCAATGTCACGAACAAGCAAAAAGAGCGGTACTACCATGACTACGTTCCCGAGGTCATGGACAGTCTGCAGGACTTGGCTGAGTTCCGTACCATGAAGCTGAATGGTCTGTGGACGGTCGCATCCCAATTGGAAGCGGCTATGCTGGAGAGCAGTAACGGATTGATGCAAAAGCTAGCAACCGAGATTTCTAGAAACCAGCCTCACCTCGACTCTATGATGTATATCCGTCACAACCTCGGTGCATTTCACGAGCCACCAGACAAGGTCTTCGAGCCTAGTCCCGTGTGGCATGACGACGACTTGATGATTGTAGACGAATCCGCCAAGATCTATCTCCGTAACGTACTCAGTAAATCGAAAGCTCATCTCGGAGACCTACGCAGAGAGGTTGACAAGAAAAGACGGGAGGTTGAGGGTATCAAGCGTGTAAAGCAAAGAATACGAGAGGGCACCGAGAAGAAGGATGAAGTTCTTGTGGTTACGCAAATCTTCGCATTGCAGGAAGATCTCCATGCCGTCGACAGGCGGAGAGTGACCGCTGAAGTCGAGACGTCCACCATTACCTCGGCTGTGGGAGACGTGACACTTGGAGCGAAGAACCACAACTTCAAGGCGCAAACCTTCAAGATTCCAACAAATTGCGACCTTTGCGGTGAAAGAATATGGGGATTATCAGCCAAAGGCTTTGACTGCAGGGACTGTGGCTATACGTGTCACAACAAGTGCGAGATGAAGGTTCCAGCCGACTGCCCAGGCGAGCAGACGAAGGATGAACGAAAGAAGCTCAAGGCCGAACGCCAAGAGGCTGCCAACTCGCTGTTGAAACCGACCGCGTCCTCTCCTACCGTCGCAACAGATTCGCCGACCCTAACGAGATCGAATACGATGAATTCCTTGAGTTCAGGATACGCGCATAGCGCACGTCGGTCGATAACTGGGGGCCCGACATCGCCGATAGATGAGGTTCCTCCTGAGCCATCGACACCCCGCCCAGCTGCTCCTGCGTCGACTGTTAGCTCTACTACGGCCCGTAAGAGGGTCATGGCTCCGCCGCCAGCAGCCTATATCAGCGAAATACCTGGTAGCGCGCCGAATGGGTCGGGCTCTTCAGACCAGCAGAAGGGCAAGATGCTCTACACCTTTGAAGCTAGTGGCGACGGTGAAGTATCTGTAGTTGAAGGCCGGGAAGTCACAATGCTGGAACCTGATGGTATGTTTTCATCCTCGCCAAATTTTCTTCCATTCGCTAATAAACTTTCAAAGATGGCACTGGCTGGGTCAAGGTGCGCGCAGGATACAAAGAAGGCATTGTGCCCGCCAGCTACGTCGACTGGGCACCACCATCGCCCATGGTCGCGCAAAACACCGGAGCGTCTGCCCGGCCCGAGTCGACGTACTCTAACTCCGGCTCCTCGATTGGGACAGCGGGACCGAAGAAGAAGGGGCCAGCAGTCGCTCCGAAGCGCGGGGCCAAGAAACTCAAGTACGTGGAGGCGTTGTACGAGTACACGGCGCAAAGCGACGCAGAGCACAGCATGACAGAGGGCGAGAGATTTGTCCTCATCAAGGACGATCCGGGCGACGGTTGGGCCGAGGTCGAAAAGGGCGGCGCGACGAAGAGCGTGCCTGCAAGCTACGTCCAGGCAGTCTAGGAGTCGTGTGCTCGGAGACGAAGAAGTTATAGGACGTTGAAGCCGCTCGCGGCGGCGGCGGAGGACATTGTGCTGCGAGACATTTCACAAGTGCCGCAGAAGCACGTTACGCAGCAAAAGGGGTTTGAGACGGAGAGAGAGGGTTATCGAGGGCCGCCTCGAGCAGCGGATCCTGCGGCAATGTTTTACGCGGAACATGTGACCAGCGTCCGGCTGGTGAAGCGAAACCAGAGCCAGAGAGAGCGGCGGAAGTCGAAGCTGGACGATGTTGCTGCGTGGCGGAGATCAAGAGAACGAAGTAGCATAGGTTAAGGTGCATGCATTCAGTGCTCTGGACTCTTTTTTCTACATATAAGTCGGCGGGAGTCGAGTTGGAGCATCAGGAGGGGGCTCGGTTCCGGTGGTTTTTTGAAGTAGTTGAAAATAGCAGAGCATCCTTGTTTTTCGCCCCCTCCATCATTGCGAATAGATTTATTCGCATGGTGTTTTACTGTGTACATGTGTGAGGTTTGACAGTAATGAAAGTGTCCCGTGCTGGACAGAAACGTCAAATGTACCTGTCAGTGTCACCAGTCACCAAGTGTCAAAATATCCAAATTTCTGGGCGTCACTGGCGACTCTCATCCCCCCCTGCGAGGACTCGGTGGCATCGTCTCCCCTACCAGGAGTTGAGATCATGGCCTATTCCGTTTGCGGTCAAAAGGCAAAAGGGGAGCGAATAGAAGGGGGAAAAAGGGATCGGGGAGATCCCAACCGGCCCTCCCGCTGCCAGTAACGCGGGCACCCGCCAGCCAGGGCAAGGCCATTCCAGTTCGCTGCAAGAGCCCACGGGCCTTTTGCGGGGTGGGGACCTGAAGGATGACGAGTCCCGTCGAGTACGCAGTAGTGTAAAGAAGGAAGAGGGAAACGGCCTGGTCTTGAGAGATCAGAGAAGAGACTGGAGTGTTCTTTACACAAGAAATCCGCCAAGGGTCGCTTCTGTAGAGCGTAATCTCTTGAGAGATTTTTTTTACTTCTTCTGTGCCGCTTGGAAGTGTATGGATAGACTGCAGGAGCCAAGTCTGGCAACTTGGCATGGATTCGGAGTCTCCTAGAAAGCAAAAGCAAAGCAAACAGTTCGAGGCTAAGATCAGGCCAAAGGTGAAAAGGACTCCCATGAGTCCATGTCCCCAAGAACGGGCCAAGCACTGGCCAAGCACCAATCAGATGACAGTAGAGGGCGGATAACCCCTGATAAACCCGCTGAAGGGTGTCACACAGAATGGGTGCTGCGTGCAGAAGATGGAGGGGTGAAGGGGGGTAATTTGGGATGAATCGAGAATGTAATTTCTTGTGCCCAAGGGCTGCATTTGTTTTCCTGCGACTGAGAACTTTTGGCGGCTTGGACGTTGTATGCCTGCAAGTTGTAAGGCAAAGTCGGTCAGGTTTCACTGCCAAAGTTCCAAGCAGGGAAAAGGGACGAGGCGACGAAATGGAGGCAGCTGACCAGACGCCGTTTCATTTGAAGAGATGGCTGGCCGTCTTTTCAACTTGGATAAGTGGCCTGCGTCATGTCCGGGGGAAGTGGGCAGACGGTCCGAAGAGAGAGAAACAGAGAGGCATTCTGTTTATTTGTATCCAGTCCTGGATTGATTGGTTGTGATATGGGTTCTTTTTCTGGTAACAACGAACAGGCAAAGACCCAGGCAAGAGACTTCAATCTAATCGTTGGCACGTCGAGGTTGGTTTGAAACTGGGCACATTGATTTGAGCGGGACTGACGTAGTGGAACCAACGACGTTGGACTCGAAATATGATCATCGATCGGATAATTTCTCGTCTGCATCAGTGCATGGACTCGTGGAGTGGTCGTAGCCTCGTAGGTCGTAATCCGAACGGGGGATGGTGATAATTGTATCCTTATCCGTACAGATAGACCATAGAGATTGGACTCGAGCAGATTAGTGTACGCAGTACTCCGTACGGATACCGTTCTGCGCCTGGGCTTCAAAGTTCAATCTACTCGGCATCAAACGGCAGTAGAGTTGCGGTAGACCTGAGAATGAGACCAGACCGGGCCGGGGTGGAGGTTGGGTCTCGGTGGGCGGTGGCAGTGTTGACGTGGACTTCGCGGCGCGGCATTCTTTAGATCGCCGGCGAAGCGAAGTGAGTCTTGTTATGGCCGTTTCTTAGCTGCATGGTCTCTCTCTTGGAGCTTTCTTGGGACCATTTCTCGCGCGTGGGAGGCCGGTCTTGGCCAATTGAAGGAGATGTTTGAGGATTTTCTCGGTGGCCGAAGTGGAGGAAACTGGATAAAAGGTCGAAAACTAGTTGCAGACTGCAGTTGGTGTGCAGGTGTGGTGCCAGTGGATTGTGGTGGTGGTGGTGGTGACGAGAGGACGCGGAATCGGAAGACAGGGACTGGCAGGGGCGCTCCCTGCCTCCATTGATCGCTGTGGCAGTGCATGGAATGTCGTTTTTGACTGGGGCAAAGAATGGGGTTTATCTCCACTTTCTGACTGGCGGCTGGGTCGTAATGTCTCTGTCGGCATGCAAAAAAAGGGGTGTAGGGTGGGTGAGACCGTGAGACGGACATGCTTGGGGCCATGAGCACATGGGATTGAGCGAGTACTGTAGCCAAGTACCACCTTGAAGGTTGAATTTTGGTCGGTGGGTTTTTGTTATCGTGATTGTCGTCAGATGGATAGATGATGCCCTGCTTCGTGGAGCTGGAATTTCGAGTACATAGTATTACTGTACATAGTAGTAACAAGCCGGCAGCAGTGAAAGGCAATGGTGCCTCGATGGTGTGTGGGGAAATTCGTGTTCTTTTTTCGTCCGGAGGCGTGTTCATGGCTGTGGCGATTAAAGGCACAGATACTCAACAAGAGTTTTTGGATACGAGCCAAACCGGAAAGAAAGAAAAACCACATCAGGTACAAATTGCTGAGTGAGACTGGCACTCGGAGGCGGCGTGACGGCCAAGCGGCTCAACGGCATTGCAAGGCATGCTGATGGGCGGTGCTACTGGTTCGTAGCGTCTCGGTGCCTCGAAAAAAGGCTGGTCCCAAGGGCGATCGTCGTTTTTGTTGCGTTTCAGCGGGTTCGACCAGGCGACTTGAAGCAATGGGGATGGAATAATGGGATTGTTTCCAAGGTGCGACGGATGGGGAATAAAGCAAAAATGTGCTGCCTCTCTTTTGGTACCCATACGGAGTTGGTAGAGCGTGAGAGAGCCAAACGGGCCACGGCAAGCCGCAAGGTGATGGTTGTTGACGACGTGGACAAAAAAGTCTGTGCCCAGACGCGCCGGTGCAACGCGCCCAGAGACGGACGCTGGACGACCTGACAGAATTACATCACCAATAATCTTTCTGCCCGTGTTTACAATACACAACCTGATCAAATTGAGCAAGATGGGGTGTGGCTTTAAGAAGGGTCACCGGCTGAGTGCCTGCTCAACAGCCAATTGAGTTTTGCTCTTGCTTGCCGGGAACCCGATTTAGCTCCATCCCACCTTCCCGCTGTCTGCAGCCACGCCCCTCTTTCCTCTTAGGTCCATATGAATGGAGAATTGTGACCCACGCCTTCCCTTCCCATCCCCTGAATTGGACTCGCAAATGTCTTCCCAGGAGAAACGTCCAAGCAAGAGAGAACAGCTGCCATCCAGCCAGTCAAGGACGATGGTGCGGTTGTCTGACAGACACCACGAGACACTAGAATCAACCAGGCGAATGAACGGCTGCTGCTCCTATTCCCCCCCTTGGGCTCTTCCCTCCCCTTCCTTTCCTCCCCGGGCGGCGTGGTCCACCGTCCACGACTCCTGTCGGTCCTTTCCTTGGCAAGCTGGCAAGGCAAGGGAAATCTGGACCAGGGCCGCAAAGTCTGGGAGGAGACTCGGAGACTGGGAAAGAGGGCGCGCGGTGGAGACCTTCACCTCCCAGAGTCTGGGGGGTGTGGGTTGCAGAGAACGAATTCCACTTTGCGGCTTGCCCTGCTCCTCCTTCTTGGTTACTCGCTTGTACGAATAGCAGGTACGGAGTAAGGTACCTAGTGTACGAATACACTAACAACCCAGGTAATGTGCGAAGTACTGCGTACCACCACCGTCAATCACGCCGTTTTTTAATCATCCACCTCCCTCCTCCTTCCCGCCCGACCTCTCTCTTTCTCTCCTTCTCGTCATTCTCTCCCAAAATCCTCATCCGACCTCTCGCTGCCGTTTCCCCCGGGTTCGAGTGCGCCTCCCTTTCCTCTTCAATAAATCCACACAGTCAACTCCCTCGCTTTGGTTGACTTTATTTCCTCATCTACCTTTCACTAAACCGACCAACCCTTTTAATCAACAACCCTTTTGGACTCCGAAACTTCACCCCTTTCGCAGCTCACATTCAACTGTTCCTCACTCTTTCGGAACATTCTATCGCTTGGCACTTTCTGATCATCACCTTGGGTTTTTGGGAATTCACTTTGGTTCCTTCGCACACATATTCACAATGAAGTCTGTCGCTGCCATCTCCGCCCTTGCGGCCCTGTCCGTCGTCTCGGCCAAGCCTACTGCTACTGAGCGCGAGGCCCCCATCAAGGCCCGTTCCTTGCCCGCAGTCTCCGCCTCCGGCAACGGTATGGATCACCAAATATCGCATCATTCTGACCCAATTGACTGATATGGACTCGAATAGCTTTCTACGCTGATGGCACCCGCTTCTACGTCCGTGGTATCGACTACCAGCCCGGTGGCTCTTCCGAGAACGTCGACCCCCTGGCCGATACCACCATCTGCGGTCGTGACATTCCCAAGTTCAAGGACCTCGGTGTGAACACCATCCGTGTCTACTCCGTCGATAACTCCAAGGACCACAAGGAGTGCATGCAGAAGCTCGCCGACGCTGGCATCTACCTCGTTGCCGATGTCAACAACCCCAAGTACTCCATCAACCGCGCCGACCCCCACCCTTCTTACAACGCCGTCTACCTCCAGAGCGTCTTCGCCACCGTCGAGGAGTTTGCCCAGTACGACAACACCCTCGCCTTCTTCTCCGGAAACGAGGTCATCCACGATGAGGCCAACACCACCTTGACTGCCCCCTATGTCAAGGCTGTCACCCGTGACATCAAGAACTACATGGCCTCCCGCGGCCTTCGCCACGTCCCCGTCGGCTACTCTGCCGCCGATGTCGCCGACAACCGCATGCAGTCCGCCGAGTACTTCAACTGCGGTAGCGATGATGCCCGCTCCGACTTCTTCGCCTTCAACGACTACTCCTGGTGCAGCTCCAGCTTCAAGCAGTCTGGATGGGACGTCAAGGTTAAGAACTTCACCGACTACGGTATCCCCATTTTGTAAGCAACACGAATATGCCCTGTCTACTTTCTTCAAGCTAACCAATGATACAGCCTGTCTGAGTACGGTTGCAACACCAACACCCGTACCTTCGACGAGATGGAGGCTCTCATGAACTCCGAGATGACCGGTGTCTACTCTGGTGGTCTCATGTACGAGTACTCCCAGGAGGCCAACAAGTACGGTATCGTCGAGATCAGCGGCAGCACCGTCTCCGAGCTTGATGAGTACGCCAACTTCAAGAGCGCTCTCTCCAAGTACCCCGCCCCCACTGGTGACGGTGGTGCCGCCTCTACCTCCCACTCTGTCGCTTGCCCTACCTCTGACTCCGTCTGGATGGTCGACCCCACTAAGATCCCTACCATCCCCTCCGCTGCCGAGAAGGTAAATTATATCCATTCTTTTCCTTGAGAAGAGTAGGCTACTAACAAACCAACAGTACATGACCGCTGGCGCTGGCACTGGCCCCGGTCTCGATGGCGATGGCTCCCAGACCGCTGGTGACTCTGCTTCAGACGGCGAGACCACCGGAGGTGTTGCCTCTGCCACTGCTTCCGGCGGCGCTTCCGCCACTGGCTCTTCCAACGCTGCTGCTGGCATGACCTTCGGTAGCCCCATCGAGAAGGCTCCTTTGGCTGTTGCCGGTCTTGCCGCCCTGTTCACCATGTTCGGCGCCTTCCTGTTGTAAGAAACTGAAGCCATGAAGATTGGCCCAGCTATTGCTGGATGTACAAACGATATCCAAAGGGCATTTGCTCTTAATTCGCATGAAGCACTAGATTTGATGTACGGCTTGGCCGCTCTTTCGTTAGTTTATCAATGACACCCAGGGTACGGGAGTCCCCGGCTTCTGAACAGTGAATAACACGGCATGGAAACGGTTTTATTTGGAGTTGAGTCTTGGTGCTGGCTTTGCTGCTTTACAAAAGCCGCAAAGGACCCTGAATCCTTTTCTATGCAGGCGCAAGATTTTTGTACGTATTGTTGCGAAAAAGCAACAACGATTGTAATTCATTTGTTTGATTATGACGTAGTTCTTTCATCAACTCTACCAGTGTGACCCTCCATTCTCCTAGATGCATGATGCTCTGGTAAGTCCTCGATCATGTGCTCAATCTGCTAAATTAAAGTTAGATGAGTTGAGACTGAAGACGAGGAAGAACCTCAGGTAAAATTGAAGTCAAAGTCGACGTGAAATTTGAAGTTGAGGCTCAGTTCTGCAGGATTCGGCACGGGACTTAGCGATGGTCTGTGGGCTTCCTCCAATTTCAGGTCTTCAGGAGATTATTGCCGTTGTCGAGATGATGCTAAGCAATGCAAACAGCCACTCACTGTGTCACCCAAGCGATTGCACCCCTCATGTTCGGTGTTCGGAGCCGTCATTGCTGCGATGGTACCCAGATGGCCGCCAGACTATGTATAATCGCGGAGGTTACGAAGAACTGCCATGTAACTACTATACATTGAAGAACCCATAGGTGTTGAGGCGCTTTCTCTGGGGCAGACTTCTGAGACATCTTTAAAGGTCGACACTGAGTCGGGGCTACGGCATGTCGTCCGCTGGATCGATCGGGAAGACGCCGTAGACTGCTCCGGCAAAAGCGGAGAATGTGCCGTAGCTTGCGCTAACTGCCGGCTATTTCGTGATACGGCACGGAACTAGGCATGATGCCAAAGTCCTCTGCTCACTCACCTCAGTTTCTTCGGCGAATTTCAGGACAGATCTGCTTTGATCTGTCGGTGCTACCCGGTGCTACCGATGGTTCCAGCGCAGAGCTCCCCAAGGCAGGACTTTCTTTCCTCCTTTCGTCAACCAGGGCAGCTTTGACCGCCTACTTATATAATTGCGACATACGTGGTCAAGTCTACCATCAGCACGGGACTGCAGAGAATGGCACAGCCACCACAAGCTTGTGATCCCAAGACGCTTCCTCCCGTGGCTATGTCAATGGGTTTTCGGTTCCGCCGGGAAAGCGGCAGTCTAGCGGAAATCCGGGGGACGTTGCAACGATTCAATATGAATGTGTAAGATGATTGGTGGACTGGGACGAGCATGTGTTTGGGGAAAGTGACCTCCAGGCCAATTGGCGTCGAGATCCCCCCGCCCGAACACCACACGCCTTCTCTTCAAGGCATATCCTTTGAGGGAGGACCTGCCACCCAAACTCCCACCACAGGTTCGCTGACGGCTCGGCGGGGATGAATCAGGCCATAGTCCAACGTCGGCTCCGAACGTTCCTGATTTCCTCGTACGGAAGTCTGTACTGATCCTTCCTCTCGTCGCGGCACAATATCAAGGAACTTCGAGGTATGCCCTTCGAATCGCTTTACATGCCGAATATCCGGCCCCGCCCGATACAGCCACTGGTTCTTGGCATGGTAGCAGTTTGGCTCTACTTTATAGGATGGCGCTCGAGTCTCCGATAAAGCGACAGTGACTTGCTTCTCCTAACACTTGGGTTCGTCTACATGCTGCAAAACTCTCTTTCGCGGGAGACCCCGCTCCCCAGCAGTGTCGCATGTTAAGAGCAGGGGACACCTCGTTTTGAAGTGACCGGTCAAACCATCTGAAATACCGACTTCAGACCACGTTACTTCAAATTTGACGTCCATTCTCTCTCGGTTACACTCCAACCATACTTTGATATGACGTTCTAGTCTGTCGGTCTAGGAAGGAAGCAAAAAAAGAAAAAGAAAAAGAAAAAGAACCATGCGCCAAAGAAAGGCTGCGCGGCGAGTAGGGCCAGTTTTCGTGGCAGCCACTCTCGTCCTCGTCACTTACGTCCTATTTTATCCGCGAGAGAGGCTCTGGAGTCCCCTAACAGGACATCAATCCACGGCGGTGTCTTTTGACCGGAAAAAGAAGGCCGGCCTTGCGACTGGAGCGGCATCTGATTTTGAAAACCTCCATCTAAACGAGCAACAATGCCAGACGACGTTCCCTGGCCTGACAAAGGAGATTGACCTGGCCGCGGCAGAGGGAGAATTCCAGCTCGGACTCGGCGACGCTTCCGCCTCGCTGCTAGGGCAGATCAAAGACAATAGGATACTGATACTGCAGGCGCCGAGACCTGTGGACATGTCAGATCAATGGATCGAGGTGAGTTCCACATCGATGCTTACATAGTTTCCACTTCCAATCAGAGGGAGATGAAAAGATCTCGAATCTCGGACACTAACACCAAAGACCCAGCGACAAAGCGCCGCCCTCCACCAGCTACACCGCGCCATCCTCACCTCGCCAACCCCTCTACCAGACACCTACTTCAACCTCTACATCCAAGACACGCCCATCAAACACACCTGGTCCCATAGCCGTCCGGCGCGGATATCGTCCTCGTCCTCCTCGCCCCCTCGACACATCTTCCCGATCCCCCACTTCTCCTTCTGGGCATGGACCCAACCCTTCATCCGCTCCCTCCCCCACGCAGCCTCCGCCATTGCCGAGATCGAAGCCAGCCTGCCGTTCGAAAAGAAGGACGCCCGGGCCGTGTGGCGCGGCACGTCGTGGTTCAACAACGGCGCGAGCGCAAACCCGCGATCCCGACAGGACCTCATCCAACTCACAAAGGACGCGGGGTGGGCCGACGTGCAGGCGCTCGAGTGGACGAACAACGGTGAGAACGCGACGAACGCGCTGGCGATTGAGGATTTCTGCAAGTACAAGTACATCATCCACACCGGGGGCGTGTCGTACTCTGGCCGGCTGCAGTTTCATCAGCTTTGCGAGAGCGTGGTGTTGAGTCCGCCGCTGGAGTGGATGCAGCATACGACGCACCTGGTTGAGCCGGTGTACTCGAGTTCCCTACTATCAGGAGGCCAGTCAGAGTTGACCCAGACTGCTTCTTCCCAAGCCAAGCCGCGGGATCAGCAGCAGCAGCAGCAGCAGCAACAACTCTCATCGAGAACACTGGAGCAGTGGCCGACGACGCTCCGCGCAGAGGAAGCCAACATGGTGTTTGTCAAGCCGGACTGGTCGGACCTGGAGGCGACGGTCCGGTGGTTGGAGGAGCACCCGGATGTGGCGCGCGGGATCGCGAGACGGCAGCAGGCGTTATTCTCTGGTCGCGGGTATCTGAGCCCCGCGGCCGAGGTCTGTTACTGGCGGGCTCTTATCAAGGGCTGGAGCCGGGACGTGCGTGTTGATGATGATGTTGGCCGGAAGAGTGCTGACGCGGTGAGCTTTGAGGAGTTTGTTGTGCGGGTTAAGAAGGCGAAGAAGAGAGGTCATTGAGAGATTTACCGCGTGGCTTTTGGGTGAGGATATCACGTATGTTGACGATGACGACGCAAACTCAGAGAAGGGCGAGGCGGAGGAGTTTCTCCGTCTGGATCTTTTCTTTGCGCTCGCGCGACTCATCACCGAGTTTGGTCATATGACAAGGGAAAACTTCTCAGATGAACAGAAGAGAAGCTTGTGGCATCCACCCGGGAAATTCGACAGTATCTATGCGATTTCGTATTCCCATGAGTATGGTTATTGAATCCAAAGTCGGAAATCGCGAATACGCTTCGAACTATTGGTCGTGAGCACAACGATACCAAGGGAAACGGAAATGGAGGTCCCGAGGCACGCTTGACCTAGGGTCAAGCCTTATGAAGAGAAATCATTACCCAAGGCAACACTGAAATATGCTAGCTGAGGTCTGCAAGAGTACTTACGACTTCACTCGAGATATGTCGAGTCTACAGATAGGCGATGTGAGGTTCTTGGAGGAGAAGAAGGGAAGGTGGAAAACGGCGGATATGTCAACGACGTAGACGTCGAAGAGCAGGGATAAGGTCGAGGTATTGGCGTCTTTCGTCTGCGCCTTCTTCGGACTCTCGCCCGCGCAACAGATCACGCAGACTAGCCTGACGATAAGATGGAAAGTAGATGCAGGAGGATAATCCGGTGTTTTCGGTAGGCACCCACGAGATCTGGGACTACAAAAAGCATCACTCTTGGATCCGAGTCTCGATTGTCAAAATAACCTCTACCACCCACCAAACGGAACATCATGCCGGTCACCACGACTCAAACATCACAAGGAGACAAATTCCGCTAGTCAAGATGGCGAAGAACGCGACCTGAATTTGGCGAGAAGAGAGACAGCAGAGGATCTTTACACCATAATGGACCACTGACTGAAGCTCCAAGCTTACGCGGTTCTTGGCACGCAATAGACGCACATCGCCTCGGCGTAAACGCGCTCCGGCTCCAACCTTGGCACCCATTGCCTGGTTGGATGTGGGAACTTCGGGGAAGGGTGAGATGCCTAGACCGGAAGGTACTGATCACCTCCGTACGCTGATCAAATGTTTGCCTGCCGGAGGGTTGACTTGGCAAAAGAAATCATCAAAGCGAACCTGGGAATTTCGTGACAGTCACCCCCATTACACGCAGGGCCAGGGATGGTGGGGTCTTGCCCAGGTTTCCATTCTGTCCTGGCGCCCGTGGTACCGATATCCTGGGACTCGAGCAGACGAACGACATCCCTCTGGCGAGCAACGGAGTTTACCGCAGCTCTTATTATATGCTCGCGGGTGGTTTACATACTTCTGTTGAAACCAACAGGTTGGTGACTCGGGCATACCCATGGCCTTTGACAGGGTTGGGCAGGGTTTCTTATTCAAGCTATCCGTACGTCTGATCGGCAGCGGAAATTAGCGAGTCTCGGGCAGTCCTGGGAGTTCAGACGGACAGCAGCAGCGAGTGGTACATAGTCGAACGTGACCGGATATCGAAAGCATGATTCCATCACTGGAATGCCAATGAACGATCACCAAAGTTTCCGTACTGAAACCTGATCTGGATCTTTCTCCAACGCCCGATTGAAATTTCAACGAAAAATTCGTAACGCCGGCGATCATCACATGGAACTGACGTGAAGCAGAGGAGCGAAACACAAGTCATGTTTGCCGGGCAATTGTGTCCGGACCTTGGTGTCTCCCACGATCGTCCATCCCCCCTCACTACAACTTCAACCCACCTCGCCTCGCGAAAATCTGGGTCTAGGCGGGAAGCGAATGGACATCTACCTTGATGCATCTCGACAAATACGGTCGAGAAGAAACAGCGTTGCGTGCGTGCGTGATGGAGCGAAAGCTGCTGCGTGCCGACAGGGTAATACAGAAAGAATGCCCATTTCTGTTGTGTAACTGTAACCTGGCAAGAGATGAACAAATTTGTGACATATCAGCTTTCAGGCGTGCAGTGCAGGCAGGGCACACAGACACAGAACACGGACGCACATGCTCACTCACGACACGACATAGCACAAGAGAACACGACGAACCAGCCTTCTGGGACGGGCAAAATTATGTCTTTCCCAGGAGGAGGAATTCCCATGTCTTAGGTTCAAACGAAACCAAGAAAAACAGCTAAAGAGGTCTGTGTGTCAGATGGAAGGGGCAGACAATCTGCCTTGGGATATGGCTGGGCAAAGTGGTTGGTTCACACACTCACAACTCACACTCTCACCTATCTCATACATTTATGTCTCTTCCTCCTTCTGCTCCAACGACTCAACGAGAGCGAAAAGCTGGGAACAGGGCCCGAGAACCGGGGACAGCTTCTCACCTCCAAAGCTCTGGGCGTTTTCTGTGCGGCACAGTAAAACTAGTGCCAAACCTGTCCGCCCATTCAGATTCCGAGGGGCGGGACAGACAACCATGCAGGTCGGCTTGTTAAGTTGTTGTTGGTGTAGTGCACATGCACATCACGCCCTGCTGCATTTGCCTAGACTGGGCCTTTCCTTTCCGCGGACCCGTCCGTCACACCGTCTTTCGAGCGGTTCCAACGTTTGGTTTGTGAGGCTGCGGAGAGTCAACCATTGAAAACTTACTTACCTTGGGATAAGGTGGCGAGAGGCCATAGAGAAAGCATCTGCTTTCACTAGCTGAGCGAGAAGATACTCTCATTCGATCATGTATGAAGAAGGCATGCGTTCGTAAAGTGTGTGTGAGAGAATGCGACTCCAGCTCTCCCCACCTGTTATAGGCAAATCGCGGTTTACCATTCCACCAGCTCTTCTTTGGCCTGACGCCAACCAACTTAGTTGTGCAGCTTCCTACTGCATACGGTGGTCCGCATGGCCGCATGAAAGTCGTGATCCATGGAGAGGGAAGGTCCTGGTGGTGGTGTTGGACATGTATGTCTAGGCTGTCGGTTCCGAGCCACATGGGAGCTTTTTCTTCCCACCACCCCTCTCTCTCTTACCCTCGTGTCAGATGTTACATTGGCATCTCTTTGTCTCTTTTTTGTTTCTAAAGACGTCCGGTTGGTGACGAGCGAGGTAACAATGGCTCGGTTAGGTAGTCGATTGGGGAACTTTCGGGCGTGTTTTCCCTCTTGAACCTACGATCCGCCTCTTATTTCTTTTCGTCTTCTCCCGCAGCTGTGGCACCCTGTATTCCTTTTCTGCAGCCGTTTGCACATGGCTGAAGCAGGAAAAAAAACTAAAAAAAACTTCGTTGGTTCTGACCTTTTGAAAACGTTGTGCATATATCCATTTGCTTTTACCCCTCCTCATGCAGCAGCCCACACACCCGCTAGATGGAAGGGCTTGGAAAAGAATTACGCCAGAAATTACAATAAGAAAAAAGAAGAAACGCCCGTAAAGGTCCGAGAGATGATAAGAAGGATGATTCTTGATAGTATCTAGTAACCAGTCCCGGCGATTTGGTGACCCCCCTTCCCCTAGGTAAGTTTCCCCTTTATCGGCCGATAAAAAGGCCATTCGCCGTCTTCCATTCTCCACCCCTGCTGCTCCCCTCCCCTCCCCTCCTTGAGAACGTCCCGACATCCGGTAGCAAATCGGGGAAGAAAGCGCCAGGTCCCAAAGTTAAACACTTCTCAAAAGGGCGTTCTTTTCTGTCAATCCCACGCAGGCTTTTGGCCAGTGAGTGACCTCGGAAGCTTAGTCGCCCATGTGCTCCAACGGATAACTAGGTAAGGTAAGGTAAGGTAGAGACTAAATCAATTAGCAGGATGGGAGGCGAGGGGAGGGAGAGAGGGAGGGGGGCCGCCGAGCCAGAAATCCCAGGTCCCAGGGTCCAGGGTCTCCGGGTTCGTGGGTACCTATCGTGTCAGTCAGACGACGCAGCAATAGTCCTAATGGAGGACTCAGTCGAGCAAACAACCACGACCAAAATTCCAAACAACCACACCAACCCAAGTCCCAAGTTCCAACCCGTTGGGTCTGGCAAGTCTGGGTGTCTGGGTCTCCCCGTGTTTTCGTTCCCGCCTTTCCCGCCCTCGCGGATTCAGACCGACCAAGGCCGACCCAGCTGTCTGGGTCCATCGCTCGCTCGCTTTGAGATTCTGACACTCTCATCCACCCACCCACTCACTCACTCATTCACTCACACTCACTCATACACAAAGCTCATACACTTCCCTCCCCTCCCGCCCTCCACCTACCTCAACAACCTCAACATCGAGCTCAATAACCCAAACTTTGTTTTCCATCGGGATCTGGTCTGGTGTTCGCCCTCATTTGCCACTGCTCTTGCGAACCTTCTCGGCTCCGATTCTCCTCGTTATCTACTCGGTCGTTCGATTCTTGGCCGTCCGTCTTTGATGCCCAACTGCATCCCCCGCTCCTATACAGCAGGTTCGCAATTGTCTTAATAGCTGTGAGAAGGGTGGCGACTGCATCATCAGCAGCAGCACCAGGAACGCTTCAACTTCCCGAGAAACACGTGCGCATATTCCACCGCAGCGTTCCAAGAACAACGCCAGAAGCGTCTTTCTTCCTTTGTTCCAATCATCTCGTCGACGATCGATCGCGAAGAAGCTGACACAATCGCATCCACTCGTTCCATCGAGTCTTCCATGAGGCTGGCGCTCAACCGGAATCGAACAACCGTCGTTCCGAATCCGTCAACGTTAGCTCGCAGATAAAAAGCTCCGGGAGGCGGATACACAGCGCCCAGCTAAAGTATCCAGCATAGCCCGCCATTCGAGCTTCGAGCTTTGCACCTCATCTTATGTCACCTTGTTCATGTCGCAGACCACAGTCATGTCTTTTCTCCCACCAGGTGTCGCCGATGGTCGTCTTCATGGTTTCGAATTTACATTTGAGGCAATCCCCGACAAGTCATCCCTGCACGACAGCCACATTGAAGTCGATGTACGTTTTGACTTGGACCCCTTTTGTTGTCTTTTAAAAAAACTAGGTCTAATTACCCATCGTTCGTCCGATGTCACTAACAAACTCCACCAGCCCGATCCTCATGAGGGGTAATGCCTGCCACGCGGAACTACTTTAGCCTCATTTACACTGACTAACAACGTTCGTGCAGGGAGACTGAATCGCTACCCGACGACGTCGAGTGTTTCCCCAGACATTTCGGCAGGACGTATCATGCATATCGAGCAGGCTGTAAGTGTTCAGTAGCTTGGCCCTCTACTCGGCTCGTATTCGAGAAGCTCACACACTCGATCCAGCCTATGTCTTCCCCAACGACCCTGCAGAGCAGGAGCGTCTAGATCTTCAATCGCTTGCACTCACAGAATTGTTCAGCGGCAGGTTACACTTCGCCCCGATCGCCGTCGAAGGGAGTCCCAAGCGGATCCTCGACGTCGGCACAGGTACGGGGGCCTGGGCCATGGATATGGGAGATGTGTACCCGGAAGCCAAGATAGTCGGTATCGACCTGTCACCGATCCAAAGTAACGCCGTCCCACCAAACGTTCACTTTTACATCGAAGATGCGTGAGTGTTGTGACTTTTCATCTGACAACGGTTTCCCCCCCTGTACACACTGTCCTGACCTTTCTACCGGCAGCGCACAATCGTGGCAATGGGAAGAACCATTCGACTACGTTCACACCCGCGTTCTGCTCGGGTCATTTGGCGATTTCAAAAACGAAGTCATACGCCAGGCGTTCGACTCCCTGCGCCCGGGCGGCTGGTTGGAGTCTCAGGATTTCAACCTCGAGGCGACGAGCGACGATGACACACTCGCCCCCGACTCACCTCTATCTCGCTGGGTAGACGACATGAACCTCGCCAGTGAAATGATTGCGCGCCCCTTGTCTAGAGCACACATGCTACGAGAGTGGTATGAGGAGGTGGGCTTTGTGGACGTCCACCAGCGCGTTTTCAAGATCCCGATCAACGGCTGGGCCAAGCATCCCAGGCACAAGCATGTCGGGAGGCTGTGGGAGCAGAATTTCTTGGACGGCCTCAGCGGATTCAGCATGGCACTCTTTACGCAGGTGTTGGAAAGACAGCAGGAAGAGGTGCAGGTAAGTCTTGCTCGAGAGGAATTATTCGATATTCCATTCTGTTTTTCTGACATGCAGTCTGTGACATAGGTTTCTCTGGTCGATGTCCGCAGAGACATTTCCAACATGCAAATACATGCTTATCAGCATGTCTGGGTTGTATGGGGCCGCAAACCATACCCGGATGAAGCCATTGCTGCGCAAAGTTCGCCGGAGAACAAGGAAATGACCGACTGAAACGAGTTACATGATCTAACGAACTTTCCAATAGACGGGGCGCTCTTCACGTATGGCGAAGCCGGAGTCTTATCCTGTCTTCCTGTTTTCCCCCTTCTGATTTCCGCGACAAATTTGTCGGACGACAATTTAGACTAGGCCGTGCTTCAAACGAGAAACACCAGCACGTGTGCAATAAGAGCTCAAGATAGCTCGCTACGATATCTATGTGCATACAGGCTTGCGAGAAGTTGCATAGGCGATGCGAATCAACGGTTTGAGCGGCGCACATAGGCCTGTACGATTATGACTTTAGAAACATACTGCATAGCACAAAAAGATACCATACTTGTTCTTCCAATCCCTCCCGAGCGTTCAACGCCCCAATCCATTCCTTTCTCTACTTTTCAAAGTCTTTAGTTACTCCTTCTTGATTAACCATTCCAGCCCCTTCGCCTTCTCCTCGCCCACCAACTCAAACAGCTTCTCCCGCGTTAAGAAGTTCTGATCACAAGGCTCCCACCCCGGTACAGCGACCTCGGTAATCAGCAACCCCTCACTCGAAGACGCCACCGACGACGACGATGCGCCCTCGTCTTCGTCCGGCAACACGAAGCTGGCCTTATAAGCGCCCCCCTCGACAGTCCACTGCAACCTCTCGCCCGCAGCGACGTTGCTGCCCACAACAAAACTCTCGATCACGCCGTCCGGGTGGAGGACGACGTAGCGGCCGCGGCCGCGGTGCAGGGAGTGCGTTATGCGCGAGCGGTTGCGGTGGAAGTGGCCTATGGGCGAGGACGGGGTGAGGTAGTAGAATATCGCGGACGAGAGGGCGCGCCTCTGCTGCTCGGTCGTCGGCGGAGGGCAGTCTGGATCGTTGGTCGAGGGTGCTGCCCCGTCCGAGGCTGAGGCGGGCGTTGCTGGGAACGGGGAGGGGATTGAGGTCGGGGCGCGGTCCGTCTCTATGTAGAAGCCGCCTTCGTAGTGAGCGTGGAGGGAGAGGGCTGAGACGATCTTTGCGGTGGAGGGGGGATCGTGAGGGATGGGTAGGGCGGAGGGGGAGAGGTGGGAGAGGTCGAGAGGGATGGAGCCCATTATTGAATGGTACGGGGTTCCTACGTGTTCAGAGAGTCTTGGAATATGAGGTCTATGAGAGAATACGAGGCAAAAGGTAAACTGCTCTAAGATTTCAAACAAACCCAGAACTAAGTTGATATTGAACTCAAGGAATCGAACACCTTCGAAATATCCCAGCGCATTACCAAAATCTTCCTCAGTGCGAGGAAATTGTCACCCCCATAAGCTGACGGTCTGAGCTACTGACCCTAGCAGGGTACCGGGGATGATTGATCACGAGGAGCGGATGAAAGACCCATTCTAGTAGGTCAGCAATTAGAGTGATTCTCACGATAACTACCCGTGGATAAGAAGTAGCCAGCCACGTGTAAGATAAAAGAACCAAGGACCAATCCAGCCATTATTTACAAGTCGTCATCTCTGCTAAGTAGCCTGGTTGCTGGCTTGAGACCGGCGTTCACTGAAGATGGCGTCCAACGACATTTCGTGGCATTGATGATTTAAGGAGACATGAATTGAAGCTACACATGAGGCTTAGACATCCCATGTCGTAACATGGTTGAATGCTTACAACACCAAAAGTCAAAAGTTGACGGATTGTAATCCTTGTGGACGACGTACTTACCGTGCTACCTTACCTTGAAGAATTGACCCTGCTGTGGCTGGTGTAAAATTTCCAACGCCACACCTCTTATCGTTATCGCCGTCGTCAGCTCTTTCCATGGAAGAACTCCGAAATGATGACAGCATCAACGAAACTCTTCATATCGCACAATCCCACGCTCGATTCCCGCTCGCAACAGCTGCACCCGCTCGTCAACCGCGTAAAGGCTCTTACGCCGAGGCAACGAAAGAAGCGCCTGACCTCCGGCCCAGCCCGCTTCTCCGGCGCGAGCCACTGCGCCCGCAGCCATGTTCACCCTCCGCGCTCTCCTGCGGCCGCCCGCCCTCCGCGCCGCGCCCCGTCAACTCGCCGGCCTTTCCCTCCCCGCCACACGACAGCAAGCCCGAATCCCTCCCTTCCCAGTAATACGAAATAATGCCCGGCTACAACAACAATATCCCCGACTCTTTTCCCAGACGATCCGGCGGCCGGCTGCGGGGAAGGGGCCCGGCGGCTACGACCCCCGCAACCCCGCCCACCGCGAAGTCCTCCGAGAATACAACATCCGGACCGCGAAGCCTCTCATGACGGTCGACGACATCGGGCGCTTCTTCAAGTCCCGCGGCTTCGCCGGCACCGCCGTCGTGGCCGTCCTCGCGGGCATCGCCTTTGTGTACTTCAACACCCAGACCGTCCCCGTCTCGGGCCGCAGGCGCTTCAACTGCTACTCCGAGGCCTCGGTCGAGACGCTGTCGGCCCAGCAGGTCAAGCGCGTCATCTACGACGTCGAGTCCCAGGGCGGCCGGTTCCTACCCTCGTGGGACCCGCGCGTGCTGATGGTGCAGCGCGTCATGCGCCGGCTGATCCCCGTCTCCGGACTCGAGGACCAGGACTGGGAGGTCCGCGTGATTGACGACCCGACGACCCTCAACGCGTTCGTGCTCCCCGGCGGGAAGGTGTTTGTGCATAGCGGCATCCTGCGCCTGACGCGCAACGAGGACGGGTTGGCGGCCGTGCTGGGCCACGAGATCGCGCACAACCTCGCGCAACACGTCGGCGAGCGCTGGACGCAGTCCATCGGGCCCAACATCTTTCTCGGCAGCATGGTGATACTCTCGGGCATGTTCCCGCCGGCCATGGCACTCGTGCAGTACCTGGGTACCGGGTTCATGGATCTCATGTTTGCGCGGCCGATGGGGAGGAAGCAGGAGAGCGAGGCGGACTATATTGGCCTGATGCTCATGGCGGAGGCGTGCTACGACCCGCGCGAGGCCATTGCGTTTTGGCAGCGTATGGATATGGCGGCTAAGCAGGGGCAAGCAGAGGAGGTTCCAGAGTTTATGAGCACGCATCCTTCGGTATGTTCACCCCCCTTGGCTTGATCTGCTTGTTTTTTTAGGGGGTGGATGAGCGCAAGCTTTCTCCTCTACTACTTTGGCCATTACTCACAGCTCATCATTAGAATGAACATCGAATCGAGGATTACCGAAAGTGGATGCCCAAGGCCATAGAAAAGTACGAGGCAAGCGACTGCCAGGGAACCGCTGGGTTCGCCAACATGTTTAGACGGGCGCTGGATAAAGGAAGCATGATTGTACAATTTTAGAGTAGCTCTCCCCTCAGGGGCATGCGAGCACACTTGCATAGTTAGCTAGGTGTTTTTGGCGCTGGGGTTTAGACGGGATTGGTCATGGCATGGTGCTCCTGTGGATTTGCTTCTGCTTTTCGTTTCTCTTGTGCGAGAACTCCCCTATACACTGTACTAACATCGCCGCTCATCATCTTGATAGATGTGTGCATGTAGTAAGAGAGAAAAGATCCCCGTACCATGGTCTCTACCGGGTATGGACAGCAAAGCTGTTATCTGCCCTCGGCATCGTTGCCATAATCCCATGTGCCTGATCGACCCCAGCAATACCCCGGATATCCTTGACCCAGGGAGTAAGTAATCACACAAAAAAAGCTAAGAAACAAAAGGTCACACACATCCAAAGCCCCAGCATGACCAGCATTTGTACGTATTCAAGGGTGGTACAGACACAAAGTCCAGCGGAGCCTCGGATGTTTGGTAGCACTGCCGATGAGAAATGCGAGTCTCGTGATTTGCTCCCGCATTTTGCTACTCCAGGTTTCCTCCCGTGCTCCCCTCACCCTTGGGGGCCCTTAGTGCCGGGCGGAGTCACCCACCAACCCCCAATCAGCAGCGGACGAATCGAATGACGTCGCCCCGTTGTTCGCGCCTAGATGAGCCGAGGTAAGTTTGACTCGACAAAAGTGAGACGACACACACACAACCACGCGCGCTGCCCAGCACCGCACGCACTCGGACCGGTGAGTGCAGTTCAGCGTGTGGTGCATTGCCGCTGCGATGACACCGAACAAACGCCAACGCCAAACCCCGTGCTTCCCCCATTTCCGTCGTTTTCCTCTTCATCAACTCACTTCCAAATCTCATCAACCTCACACCAAATTCTCACCAGACATCTCACAACCTACACCTGTAATACTTTCAGTAACCTGTCAACACTCGGCTTACAATAACGCAATCCACCGAACCCCTCACGCAACCCCTTCTAAACACCGCCAAAATGTCCAAGACGTTCACCACCCAAGAGGTCGCCCAGCACAAGACCGAGAAGGACATGTGGCTCATTGTCGAGAACGGCGTCTACGACATCACAGGTACGGCGACCACTTACGCATCCTCATCATCATGGCCGCAGTTGGCCCCCAATTTCCGCCAAGACCGCCGCCCACCCTCTCTCTCTCTCTCTCTCTCATTCTCATCACCGCACACGCTTCCTCACCATCACCCATGATCTACTCCGTATGCTGACAAACTTCTTCCAGCCTTCCAATCAGAGCACCCCGGCGGCGAAAAGATCCTCAAGCGCTTCGCCGGCAAGAACGCGACAAAGGTGTTTTGGAAGTACCACAACGAAAAGGTGCTCGAAAAGTACGGCGGCAAGCTCAAGATTGGCGAAGTCGCCGAGAGTGCAAAGTTGTAATTCCTAAATCGACGTTCCATTTACCAGTCGAACTTTGGTCGGATTCATGTACCAGTTCTTGTATTGAGCATCTGCTTCCTTATTTTCGGCCTTCTTTTTATAGCGCAATGGGGAGCGAAGCCATCGACGAAGCAACGTGATCTCTCCCCGAGTACTCTTGGGTAGTATTCGACGGGCTGTGGGATCTATCTATCCATGGATACGGGTTCAGCTGATTCGCGAAGAGTCAATGCCGTCAGGACGCGCGAGACCTCTGCGTCTCGGGCATCTTCGACACCTCTCTGGGTGTAGAGAGCGGCTACCTTCGTTGTACATCACTACCCTCGGGGAAGGATGAGCACGTATGATTGGTGCGGAGGAGACTCTGAATGGGCTAGGCCGCAACGCATTGGCGAAGACGGTAGACGTAGACATCTAAACGGCTTTGAAGCCATGTGTACGCCAGAATAGACGTTTATTTCCCACATTCCAGAAATTATCATTTATAACTCGACGATCTTGCTTCGAACCATTTAATCATTAGATATATCTTCGTAAAACTATATGCAGTAGCCAGGCAGCATGACTGTAGAATATCATCGTGCAAGCCCTCTCACCTAACCGCAAGCCGGGTTTCCAAGTCTTCGTGGCAACCAAGAAGAACGAGCGCACATTGCCTCAGGCTGGCCTCATTTGCATCCCCCCCTCTTTTCCCAGGGGCAGCTCTCTGTCTCTGTCTAGATTTTTGTGTCATTCGTTGTGCAGCAGGTTTCTTTCCTGCGTGTCCGTCCACCTCGTCTATAGCCAACCTCTCCCAAACCAAAAGACAATTATCGGCTGTCTTCCGACTTCCGTCTTCCGTCTCAGCTCTTCCTCCTCCTGCTCTCTCCCCTCCGCAATCCTATTTTCCAAGCCATAGAGGGTATACTGCAAGTCGTGTCGTGCGTTATACAAACGGAACAAAGAGAAAATGTCGTTGAAATGAGCGTGAGCCCAATGCTCATGCAATGCCGTCGTTTCAAATTGGGGTTTCGTCTTTCTAGACTGGTAAGATAGGAAACAAGAGGTTCGTTGATGAACTCATGACTGGTCCCCAGAATCAGTACCCGCCGATGAGAGAATCATCATATCTATCGGGGGTGCCCGATCCGCTGCCGTTGGCGCTGTCGCTGCTCGAGAAGTAGCTCTGGTCGATGCGGAAGATCCAGTCCATCTTGTCCCGCTCGCTACGTGCAGCGAAAAGCCAAGTATTGTCCGTGCCGTAAATCGCGAAAACTCCAGCTTGCAGTCGCTCACTTAGCCTCTGCAAGCCTCCGCCAGGTCCATTGGCTGCGCCACCTGTACCGGTGCCTGTCCAAATGGTTGAGATGACACGTCCAGACGCAGTTCGTCTATGGCTCGGGCGGAATTCTTCTACACTGCCGTTGGTTTGCGAACCCGTGTCATCGTCGTCACCCGACAAGAGCCCGATAACGCCAGGCTGGCTGTCGACGCGTGAGTTTCGTAGGCTGACGATGGCCACTTCATCCCCATCAGTGACAGAATGGATGTGCAGGTATGGCCGTCGCAGTTCCACAAATCTTTTAACCCATCTCGTAGAGCTGCTGTTAGGAATCAGCAGATAGCCGCCCTTGAGAACCTTGGGGTTCTTCGGAACTCGGATAATCGTTGGGATCAGGCTCGGCGGAGCGGAAGCCTCCGGCGCAGAGCCGTCCGTCGGCGGATCAGTATTCGTTGGGCTGAGAATCTGCAGCAGCGGATCGGGGTACTTGTTCCAGAGCTTGATGCATTTCTCAAGGATGTGCTTCTCTCGCTCGGGTATCTCTGGTTCTTGAGCTGCTTGCACTGCCTCAGTTTCCCCCTCTGGCTGTGGCGTTTCTTGCCCGTCTCCGTTGAGAAGTTCGTCGTCCTCTGGCACCTGCGAGCTCTCTGGTGTGTCGTTCAACAGATCGTCATCGTCGTTTTGATACGTGGGTTGGGGCGGCAGGTCTTCTTCTGGTGTCTCCTCCTCTGTCGCCTTCAGCTTCGGCTCTGGCAGACCAATCTTCTTGAGGAGGGTCTGCACTGCTCCAATTTCCGCAATTCGCTTTCTCTTCTTGCGAGAAAGAATGAAGTCGCTAACCAGGGAGACTCCCCGAGGGGTCCAGGTAGTGAGCTGCTCTTCTCCTTTGACGTAGTCGTGCTGGCTGCTCATCCGCCACAAGTCGCCTATTCTCTTGATAGGAGCCGGCCGCATCGACAGTGTGAATATGGCACTCGTTGCATGAACGAAACGGACGCTTTGCCACAGCGAGGAGAACATTGACGTCTGTCGCACCCATGATCTTGACATGATTTGGCAGCAGACATGCATCGCAAACTTCATCGGTTCCGCAAACTTGCTGGAACTAATTTCCCAGGCAACCGTCATCTGAACACGATACTTATCCGCGGTCACTCTATCCAGAAGCAGGGAGTTGTGTAAGCTCGAATCCCATTGGCCGGTCAGCGTGATGCTTCGGGTACCATTGGCGTTATCGCGGAAGGCAGGCTTGTTGGCGAGCTTGAGGGTGATGGTAGGTGACGTTGACGTCATATCTGGCGACTTTCCTGACTGATCAAGAAGCTGAACCTTACCCACCCTCAGGTTCATTGCGTCGTCCCAGGGCAGAGCATCGCCAGAACTGTGCGTGATGTTGATGGCAATGCGGCGTTGGAGCCCTTGGTGAAGTTGGAAAGTACCGCCGTCCATCTCACTCGTTTGTGCTACTTCAACGGGTGCGTACTCTCCTTCCTCGTTCAGTTCGAGAATCTGTATCCTTGCCAATACGTCGTGCTTCTCTTCGGTGAAAAATTGTGACTCAGCGATGCGCGCTCCCTTGCCTTTTCCTCTGGACAATGGTACAGCATCGCGCATGTCGTCCCAGCTCAGTAATTTGTCCAGGTGCATTGCTGAAACTTTGGCGAAAATAGCTGCTCTGAGGGTGACGGTTTGCGGGCTGAAAAGAGGAACGCTCATACTATGTACGCTCTCAAAGCGAATAGGCCCTTCGTCAAAATCTTTGACCCACTGCGTGGTGGTGATGCCATCTTCCTCCGAGACCCCAGGGATGAACAGTTGAGCATGAACCTCCGTGCCCTCTCTTTCGGCGAAGCCGACCATTTCGTGCATCACAACGTTGAATTTCAGCGTGTTGGATGGTGCTCTAGCGTGCGATGGCTCCAGCGAAAGCTTGATCATGCCGATGGCATGGGACGTATGGGGAGAGAGAATATCCAGGGCGAAGTCTTGAACCCTGCTTTCAAAGACAGCCTTTAGCGGCACGTCGACCTCTCCTACAAGCGTATACTGCGGCATGCAAGTCTCGATGAACGGGTTATCAAGACTCAGGTGCTGAGCATACTCTGGCTGGTCAAGATACTGGTGCATTTGCCGCATTTGTCTAACCCGGTCGTGTAGCTTCTCCAGACTCCAAAGATGCACAACGCAGTTCTTGTAGTCAACAACGCGCACGCCGATGCATGGCTTTTGTGTTTCTTCGAGGGGGATGTCGTCTCCTTCGCCAGTCAACCCATTTAGAACCATGTCGTAGGTAGAGCAAAGGGAATGGCCGAGGTCCACGACAGTGAATTGGAAGACTACACCCTCGTCAAGCTCGTTGCTCATGATTTGCGCTTCCTTCAAAGTTGAGGCGTGTTGCAGCACTGCTTCCGCCATGCGCACGTAGCGCCTAGTCCGCCACAGCTTCACGACTTGCTTTGCAGTCTCAATTTCTTCGTCAGAGAGCTTGGGATTTGCCTTTGGCCTCTTCAAGGGATCCATTTTTTCGAGCTTCTCTTCGAATTGGCGACGTTGCACCTCCAATTGTTGTTGCATATCCTCCTTAAGCGACTGTAAGGTTTCTTCCATCCTGACCTTTTCCTTCTTGATCTCCTCCACTTCGACGTTGGCCGCTTCAGCTGTCTTAAGCTGGTCTTGATACTCCTCTTTCTGCCGGTCAAGCTGAGATTGCATCTCCTCTCGCACTTCCCTCAACTTGTCGTCTACTTCACCCTGCTTTGGAGTCGAAGGCATAGTGAGGGCGGTATCGAGAGAGAAGTTATCAATTGTGCCAGTCGACATGTACTTTTCTCGAATCGGATATGAGGTGACAGATTCCGTGTCATCATCCCCATCGCGGACATTGACACGCTCGGCACGCGCTCGTTGGATACCTTCGAATAGTGCATTGAGCTCCTCGTCAGTGAGACTAGCCAAATTTTGGTTCGGGCCCAGTATAGCTTCTGCTGCCTCTCGTCTTGCGAACATGAAGTCGTTGTCACGTCCAGCACGAAACGGTATCGGAGAGTCCGGCCGACTGTCGCCAAAGTCTGAACCAGCTTTGCTCCAGTTCCGTTCGTGTCCAGGTCGCGGGCTGACAGCTGGCGTCGGCATGCTCTTTTCGAGATTCTGCAACTGACTAGCCGTCACAGATTGACGCAACAGGTTCTTGTCTGCTCTTTCCTTTTGGGCTTCCATAGGGTGATTGAAGCGGAAAATATGGAAGTCACCCAAGATAACACGATAACCGGAGTGCAACTGTTTAGGCTCCTCGATTCGTTTGCCGTTGACCATGACAGACGCTCCCTCCTTCGGAATGACCATTACGGTACCATCGGGTCCGTTTTCAAAAGCGCAATGGTCGTGCATGATGCGAGTCCCGTTAAGACGAATATTTGCTTGGTTGTCAGCATTGGTGTCCATGTTTCCAACCGTGGTCAGACCTGGCTTGAGGTTGTATACAAGACACTCGGCAAGTAGCGGATCGTCTGAAAGGTTGACCAAATGGGGCATCTTCTTCGGAGTGGAAAGTCCGATGAAGCCCTTTTCAATGCTGATACCGAGTTCTTCGAGTGCGGCCTCTCGTTCCTTGTGGATCTCCTCCGTCTTTTGCAGCTTTTGCTCCCAGGTCTGATTGAGATCTGTCAATAGCTTTTCACTCTGATTGAGTTGCTCTGCAATCTCGGCCTTGGAAACCTTCTTCACAGCGCCGTCGCTAGATGTAATCGACACGAATTGCTGTTCTAGAGGAGTGCCTTCCGGATAGACCTCTTCTGACGTGACGGTACCGCCGGCAGCTCCTCCAGCCGCGCCTGCCCCAACACTTCCTCCCCCTAGTTGACCTCTCAGCAGAGCAAGCTCTTCCTTGAGTTCTCTGATCATACGGGCGTTGGCATCCTCGTTGACAACCGCGTGGTTCTTGATTCTCTTCGCAGAGTCGGCGTATCGCAAGGTACTGAGGGTTTCGTCATAGTTGATGTCTGCTGGACTGATGGCTGCAATCATGGCCGTCATACTGTTTCCACCTAATGAGTCTTTGAGCAGCCACGTGAGAACACTGTCTCGATACGGAACTTGTCCGCCGGGACCCTTCTTCTTTTTCCCCACGGAAATATCTGCCAAGGCTGAGATGACTCGACCCAGGGAGGATAGTGATCTGTTGATCTCTGCACCTTCCTTCAGTCGAGCACCTGTGGCACCTGTTGATGTAGCTCTTTCTGAACCAGCCAAGTCAACCAGACTAATTTTGGCGACCTTTTCCATTTCCATCTTTGTATCGGGGTCGAATCTTTTCTGGGTGAGCATCAAGGTGAAAACTGCGTGACTTCGACTTGACGTCTCGTTCATGTTTGTTGCGGCGACAGTTCTGGCCTTGTTTCCCTCGTCCATCAAGTGCTCGATCTCCTGGAAGCTGCCAACGACCAGCTTCGCCAAGTCTTCGACGTATGGGCCGGTCGACGGATGCTCTCGGACCTTGAGATTTCCTTTCGTTGCCGGGTTCAACAGATCTCGCACTCGTTCGTTGTAGATTTCGAGGTATGACACTTCGACCGTACACCGCAAGTGCTTATCCTCTTGCAGGGCTGAGATCCTTCTAAACATATCTTGGCAAATCATTGGGATGATACCAACTTCCTTGCCGTATCCCATCATGGAATACGACTTTCCGGAACCTGTTTGGCCATAGGCGAAAATACAATTGTTGTAACCGCCAAAGGCATTCTCGAGAAGAGGCTGACCAAGGTCGTCGAATAGGTTGTCTTGGCCGGCATAATGGTTGTCCTTGCGATCAAATGACCAGTACGACCTGTCGAAGGCGAACACTTTCTGGCCAGCGTCTTTTGCATTTTTTGCATGAGCTTCGGACGGCGGGGTAAGGACGGTCTGGTTGTCTTTCATCTCGATAATACATTTTGAGCCACGGTCGATCTCTGTGTAGTGGTCAGCATTTCGGTCGACCGCATGTTCCCGTTCGCGCACCCGCTCGAGGGGTACGCGGAGACGTCACAACTGTGACCCGTACCTCTACTATTGAATGGTCTCACTCTCACCACCACCTTAATGTTTCCACCACCCGCGGGAGCCATCTTTGCGACTGGTTTTGGGGCACCTGCCGCCCAACTTCAAGGCAGAGGTTGCCAGTTGTACGAATGGCGGGCCTTCAGCCAAAGCCTGTTCGTTGATATCGTCCAACAGCCGTCGGCCACCCTTTCTGACGAAACAGCGGTAAAGCTTAGATTGTCGATATATGGTCTGCTTTTGGTATTGAAAGCGCCTTCATGAGCTGCCCCTAGACCATCATCCGAGCGTCGAAGGGGGCGGGCGGTCTCGGTGGGCGAAACCGGGGGATCGTCAAGTGGGATTCTTTCGATTTCGATGGCCAAGTATTACTAGAACGACGCAGCTACAGGTACAGGCCCCGCAAACGATGCCGTTGCGTCCGATGACGGACAGCAGCTTTCCGGTCGTAACTAGAGCGTCTTTTCGCACAAATTCAGAATCGTTTCGGCGTGTTGAGTTCGTGATCGCGTAGTACAGAAAGGGGATCTGTCGTTGAGCGGGATGCGAAATGAAGGGTACGGAGTACTTCGATGTCAACAAATTTCGGAAAGGACGCGGTCGCGCACCGCATGACGGTCCTCTGCAGGGAACTGATTGGGCCGGAAATTAGCTTTGGTCAGGGTCACTTCACGTGCCAATCCGCTCAGCAGGGTGACGACCACCAGCCGTGCCACATTCAGTGTTTACTTTGGTGAGGGAGGTGCGCCCCAGTGCGCCAATGGCAGATGACTAAGCCAGGTGAACCATCGCCCCGGCGCGGCGTTCCTCAACGTTCTGCTGCTAGGTAACTTAGACATCTATTTGCAAAGCAAAGGGAAATTCAACATCATCCTTCAACGCATTGTTTGCTCATTATTCCATTCTCTACTAATCTATCATACTGATCGACCCGAGGTTACTGCAGTATTCATCTTCATGAGCCCACAGATCCACTTCCCCCGCCTTGTCTACTTTGACAAGTGTTTAAAGTTATAGCAACGCTCAACCGCTGAAACAATCAATAAACTTAAGAACGCAAGTGCCTCGGGCAATTCCTCTCTCTACATCTGCAAGCGGATATCACCTTAACATGCCTCATCACCGCCGCCAGTAATGTGTTGCTGCGGAGGAGCCATTCTCAACTCGACCTATTGGTCAACCCGTTTTGCCGCTTGGAAGTCTTATATGCTCAGCTCCCAGCATCTGCGTACCTGCATCCTTACCGTCCTTGCCTGGCAGAAGTTCATCCCATTCTGCGGTACCATCACCTGGCCAATCCCTGTCGAGTCAACAAACACAACGCGGTTACGCACGGCGGGATCGTGTTGATTACGAACTAGAATTCTTCAACGCGCAGAATAGCGGGCGGGTTCCGGCAGGATCGCACATCTCATGTGCGGGGTCATTTCGATGATCTTAAGATCGCCTTAACCGCTTTTACACGCCAGCATACCTAGGTCACTCAACGGTAGCCTTCCTTTGGTACTCGACCAAAGCTGAATGCGAACAAGTGTTCGTCCAATCAACTTACAAGATCCAACCAACATCAAATCGGGTGTCTACCAAGAGAACCATTGCAACAGCATTGAAACTCTTTTGCTGGCTCTCTACAATTCAAATCGCCCATTGCGCTAACCACACCTGATTCTTCATGTGAATTGCAATTTTGCAGAAAGAAGTCGCGTCTTTGCTCCAACCACCATTATTGCCGCGAGCCGAACCTGGCTCTTTTCGCCGCAGAGGAAGCAGAGAGGCACCCAACGTCGGGAGAATCAATCGGGCCGTGAAGTCTTAATCACCTTGTCGTGCCTCGTTTGACTCTGTCGAACATAGCGAATTCAACTGCAGTGGCATCTTACATGACGTGACACCTTGGTACGCCACTCTTGAATCATCCTCGGCGTATCGGCCTAGTTCGACCATCAACGATTCTCTACGGAAACATGATCTCGTTGGAAATGGCCAATTATCTGCACTATGCACAAATCAGCACAAGTCATTGAACCAGTAGGAGCAACGGGTATACGACGTTATTCCCAAGATAGGCAGGTCGGAGGGAACTTACCCTGCGAAAAGAAGCCCTTTATATCTGCGACAACTAACGAACCCTTGAGATGGAGCACATCCCCTTTCCCCGGGTCTCGAAACAAAACTCCGAAGATAACCTTCGAGACAAGTCTTTTTGCAGCCCCCCCATCCGATGCTTGAACCTGCATATTCGGCGACATCCCCCGGTACACGAAGGCGCGGGCAACAAGGCTCTGCCTTGATCCCTAGCCCGACAGCCAGCCCCCAAAGAGCCAAGGGCCCAAATCACTATGGATCTACAAAACAACCAAGCGAGTGTCAGCCTTGGGTGGCTCTAGAGGAGGAGAATTTTGTCATCATCCTCCACTCGTCTGGAACAAGATATATCTACGCGAATGCACGAAAGACTGCAAAAAGCCCCTTCCCCACTAACCTTGTGCCAAAAACCCTTCTAGAACCCCTTCCCTCCTCGTGTCGCCCCTTCTCAGAGGCTCGAGATCCCTCCCTAAACTCGAGCCGGTGCACCGGATGGAACGTCCGGGAGGTGACGGAGCCACAAAGACACAGAGTCACAGACAGGCGGGCTGCACTTCATCAACTCGGACCCGGGCGACTCGAGGCCCGGTTCATCAAGAAACGGCCCCAGTGTTCCAGAACAAGCTTGTCGAAGTTCTGCTTCCTCCCCCACATGCCCGCCAACTTGACCAACACTATCCGTAACACTAACACCGAAGGACCTCACCATGGAAAGCCTCAATCGGAATCGGCACCCCGCCTCGACCGCAACAGCTCTCCATCATCTCTGCCACCTCGCGCGGGTGGCGGATACTCCGACCATCTGTCTGCGACTGACAGCTGCTTAAAACACAATCCCTTGAAGGGATCGGGATCCTGGGAAGGCCAAGTCAGCCACACACTGCACAGCTCCGCTTCCTGTCTGCCAAAACGCTACCCGTTCGCGTTGCCCGCCCACCTTCACGATAACTGCGGCAAACGAGAAACGCGAAAAATAGAAGAAAAGAGGACGTTGGCGTTTCCAACGCTAGCGTTTCGCGGTTTCTGCCTAGCCTTTAGGCGAGTTTCTTCCCTCACTACGAGCAACGAACTAGAACCGAACGGTGATCGTCGTGTACTTGGTCTAGCACGTCACGAGGTACGGACGCTCTGCCCCCCCTGACTAGAACATTTCTTCAGCCTGTCAGCCTGTCACTAGCGAATCGACATGGGTGTGTTCGAAGTTTCCCCCCTCCAGCCTCCAGGTCTCTCTCTGACAGACATCAAATCCCTCCGGTTCATCCGTGCCGGATCTGGGCGCGACGCCGTTGGCCACGGTCTTTTCTTTTTTTTTTTTCCTCGCGAAGAAAATCGCGGGTGCAAGCCACGGAACGGGGGACCCAACTGGAATATGACCTAGCCGTTTCTTCGGCTACTGGCACTGATAAGACGTAAACGGTTCTCAAACGGCGCGTGCGCCTCCCCGAAGGCGGGCTGCGAGCGGGCGTCTCTCCCGTTTTGCACGCGGCGCCTTTCGAATCGCCACCCCCGGATTATGTACGGAGACTTTTGTATCCCGCACATTGCAGCAATGACGTTCTGTGCCGTCATATCACATTATGCAAAGCAACTAGATGGCTGCCCAGGACCGTCTCGAATCTCGCCGTCACTTCAGGGCATGGCACCTAACCAAAACCAGATCACCCCCTACGAAAGGGTTCGCCTCCATACGGCGGTCGGAAACTAGCGCCTTATCTGTACGATTGAACGGTGCCTGCTGAAAGATCGACAGGCACTGTAGTAGCCGCAAGGTTGCTCTAACAGACAAGACTTGACCTGAAGTGCACCGGGGGCGCACTACCCACCAGCGCAACATCGCAAACATCAAATGACGAGATTGCCATGAACCGAAAACCTAGCTGATATACCCGCTGCTTGGCAAAGCGTAGCGGGCAGCCCGCAACCTAACTCTCTTCTCATAGTGTACGCCCCTGGTGGGAAGGAGGAGGGTTTCTCCCCACAACGAGTGCAGCGCAGCCAAGTCAAGTTAGCAACTTTGCCACGGAACGTACTAAACCAAAGAAACGGTTACACGCGTGGGTGCGCGCGCGCGCGCACCATCCCGTTCCCGCCGCCTCTGAACCTTCAGCGTCCTCATGGCTCTGGATACAAGTTGGGATCACTCAACCCCGTCTGTATCGTGGCGCCAGTAAACGACTCATGACAAAGTCGCACCAGCCCCACAAACCCGCACCGATCGTCGTTGCGTTCCTGCAACTCTACCGTCGCCGTGAACATCATCATTTCTAGGGTGTTTATATATATTATTCAGATACGGATGCCCGAACTTGGCTGTCACGCTGCATTTCATCTATATACACACAACACCCCGGGAGGAAAATCGGTCACGCCGAACGTTCTTGGCATCGAAACATGATCTGATCTGGAAGGGGGGGAAAGAAAACGCTAAACCATGTTCCCCCGCTTGGCGTTGCTTAAACGTTGCTTGATCTTTTGATAGCAAGACTTTTGGTATCAACTAATAAAAGATTAGAATGCGACTAAATCACGTCAAATGAGCTTGGCGCCCTTGCGGCACCGGCACCGGCGGCGGCTTCATTCACATACGCTATCGCGCAATGGCGGTAGCGTCTTCTCCGTCGGGCCCCAGTCAATGACAGATCATAACTGCCTGGTAGACTCTAAAAGTATCTCGTCCAATGTGTCTTGACCTATTCTATCTATATCTCATTTAGAAAAACTCAAATTGAACTGAATCAGACAAGACGCTGTACATAGTATTTGACTCAAAGGCCCGACGTCGCAACACAGACATACCACCCGCCCACACAGTACACCACACGGGTCTGTAGAACAATAGTCAAACGGCGCGACGCTCAAACTCTGTACAGTAGTTGAAATTGCCCGACGGTCCATAGTCCGTTCAGCGGAGCGACGTCAACCCTCCGCAATTGACAGTCTCCAAAGTTGTTCAAACTCTACTTTCCGGTGACTGTTCCATTTCGCAAATCATCATTTTTCTTCGACCCGCCTGAAGTGTCGTCAGTGGAGTTCGGTCAAGATAAGGTACGCCTCATCATGTAAGTCATAAAGTTTAGTGTGCTAGAGTTTCCATGGGACTTTGCTTTTTGGGGGGGTGGCGGTCCCTGGAGATCCTCATGTGGATACACTGGAGAGCTTCAGCTTTGTTGAAGAACGCCCTTTGAACGAAAAAAGAAAAAGTAAGACAGTCAGAGGCAGGGACCCGGGAACCCTGTCAGAGTGTTGTGTTGATGAGGCTCATCAAGGGATCACGTTTATTGTATTGCAGAATTGATGACTGCGGGTTTTGAAAATTTGTTTCTTTTGATTGTCGCTTCTTCCCGTGGGAAGGGACTTTGCGGTACAGATGGCACACTGCGACCACTGACCGTGATGATCTAGCTTACAAGGTTGCACACAACCGGTATTGTAACATGAAAAGAAATGGCTGTCTGTCCACGCCGGGGCCAAGACATTTTCCCACAAGAAAAGGATCGCGCCACCAACACCCAATAGATGACCATGCAGTATATGATTTCGATATAGGGAAACGACAATGTGATGAAGGGAAGGTGGTAATGTGGCGCCGGCCAATAAATGAAACAACTAGTAATAGAACAGAAGAAAAGGAGCGTCGCGGACGGGTATCAAGTTGGTAATGATAATGTAGCAAGAAATAAAGGCGCTTCTCGGGAAAGGAATGTAATGGGTCAGCCGTGAAGTCGTTTGAGACGTAGGGAGCGTAAGCGTTAAATGAATAACGGTTTCGAAACAGAATAAGATTGAGATGAAATGGAATGTAGTATAGTTGCTGCTGCCGTATTGGACAAGTAAGATGGGGTAGAGCTGAGGCTGGCTGGCTCCTAGCCTCGGAAAACGGCACTAGTGAGGAAGATGGCTCCGTCGTCGGCCGGGCTATCCTTGGCTGGAGGGGAAGGCGCGCGAGGAGACGGGATGGTGTCCTTGGTGTCCTTGGCGTCGGTGGGCTTCTCATTTGCGAGCCCACTGAGAGCCTCATGGCTGCGTGCCCGATGGATCTCCTTCTGTTCGTCATCCGACAGGGCCGCAGTGGCCTCAGTCTGGTTTGCGGCGGCGCTCATCTTGGTGATCTCATTCTCCACGTCGGCCAGAAGAGCGTACACGTCGCTGTCGGCATAGATGCGGATGCTCTCCATGCCGGTGCGGCGGTGGCTGAAGGAAGAGACATGCTTGTCGACCGAGGCAACGGGGCACTCCTCGATCACGGGTTGCTCGACGATGGTGCTGGGGACCTGGGCAACGACCCGTTGTGGTGAAGGGGAGCTGCTAGCAGTGTGCGAAGAGAAGGAGTTCTTGGTGGGGCTTCGAGGAGGAGTGGAGATGTTTCCAACACCCACTGGTGGAGGCGGGCGGATGCCCATGGCGAGTTGCAATGACTCGCTCGCGGCCGTCGCGGCGGGAGTGGGGAGGGTAGCTGCAGCAGCGACGTGTTCCAGAAGCTTTTGGCGTACCCGTGTACGACGGTTCTCAGCCTGTTCCAGCTTGTTCACCCAATCGTCGATCGACGTATCGAGCTCAGCAAGAGCTTCCTCTTGCTTAAGCATCGAGTCTGTGCTAAATCTAGCCGTACGAGGAGAGCGGAGGTACTGGCAGATACGAGAGTGCAGATTGCGCCGACCAGCTCGCAGAGAGTTGTAGGTGCGGCGCAGATACTCGGTGCGCTCATCGAGCTGACGAAGTTCCTGTGTATAGTGTCAGTTTTCGCTGTTCGATAATGAGGTACAGAGTGAACCTTACCCTTGAAAGGAGCTCAACATCCTCCTTCCTGAGGACCTCAAATCGGGAAGCCTGTCCGAAAGCCTGCTTTTGCAAAGCTGCCAGTTCGTCTTGCTCGATATGGCTGGGTGCCTCGCCGGCTCGGAAACCACTAGGAAGCTCTTCAAAAGCCCGGCGTTCAGCACTCTTATTTCTTGTTGAACAGCTTCGCTTGGGGATGAGACCGTTGTTGTTTCGTGATTCGCTTCGCTTCCGTGGCCGTCCCCGGTCCATGATACTGCCAGACTCAGACTGACCTCTCCTGTGGCTGTGAACAAACGGCCTTTGTGTGCCGTCGTTACCAGGTGACGCAGAGTTCTCGCTCTTGAGCTGGACGGGGGTGGATGCGTCTTGGCTGTAGTTCAACTCCCAGGGCTTCGTCGAGCTACGTTCCTCCATAATGGGAGCAGACACGGGCGTTGTGGCGGACATGAAAGTTGGGCAGGCGGACAATGGGGTCGTGAGGGCTGTGGAGGCGGTCAAAGGCGTATACGGAGTTCGAGCAAGTGATCTAGGTGAATCATCGGCGCGGGCGGAATACTGATAAGAGTCTTGACCGGTGCTGCCGGATCGCATGCGGTTGTGGGAGATTTGTCTGGCAAGACGCGGCACGTTGCCAATGTGAGTAGGAATGACGAGAGGCGCCAGTTGCTTCGGCGAGGCGGGTTGGCGGGGAGTCTGGCTCTCTGAGGTGGATCGTTGGTGTCGGTCTGGTGAGCGGGCTGGAGTAGTGCAACCAGATCTATCGGCGTCGGCCGCGGCTATCGACGAGACGGATCCGTTCGATTTGTGCTGCTTGATGTGGTGTCCTGGTGCGCTAACAGATCTCTCGTGGAGCGGTGGACGTCCCGGAATAGTGGCTATAGCTTGTTAGCTATGTATTACTTGATGAAGCTGAAGGGCATATACTTACGTGAATCCATGGGAACCTCTTGGACAGTCGTCATGGGGCCCAATTCGGGGATGCTGACTTTACGCCGTCTAATGAGGTTATGTTCCTTGATGCGCAGGCGGAGGGAACCGCTGCTGGTGCAGGGCTTCTCGGTCTTGTCGTTCTGTCCCATGGCGAGGGCGAAGGCTTGCTCGGGGTCGAGGCTCTTGTTTGGTGGCCGTTGCTGGCGGTCCTTTGGGAAGAGTTGGTACTTCCGGGTGTCTGGGTGGTGCATCCTCCACACGAAGGGCTTGTGATCTGATGATGATGACAATGGTGGTGTTTGTGATGTCTGAGAGAATCCCAAGACGTGGTCAGCTAAAGAATAACTCATAGGTATAGAGGACGTGTAGGTAGTTGGAATAAAAGAGCGATGTCCATACCGAATCCATTGGGGGTAGTGGGGAGGGCGGCTTCGCTATATACGGCGGGTTGGCGGACTCGCCTTCATCGAGCATACAGCTTGCGATGTGAGCCATTGAGAGGAAAGGGACAGGGTTCTGAGGGTGAGGGATAGATGACAGCTGGTACAGGTCAGGAGTAGATCTGGCACAGCTATAGCCAAGGACAGGGAAGCTATAGGTCCCACGCTATAGTAAAACAATGGCACCTTGGACGAAGAAGTCGAGCAGTGAGGCTATATATGTCTTATGCAGTGGAGAGGAACCCGACTGGAGAAGAGGGAAGAAAAAAGCTCGACTTGAACTTGACATGGGGGTCTCCTTCGGTTGCTTCGATATGCAGGTCGGTCTGTTTTCTAACAGGGAGCCTTGACTCTTTCTCGACCGGGAGGCTATGGGCCCTGGGCCCTGGGCCAGTATGACAGGGGGGGATGCAGACGTGGGAAAAGACACAGAGAGAGAAGAGAGACCAGGGGGTGTGGGGGGGACGGCACGAGTTGGGGCGAACCGGGGGAGAGGGATAGAAACAGAAAGGTGACGAGCTGAGTCGAGTACGACACGGACAAGAATGAAGATCTGAGGAAGAAGACAAACCTTGAGGTATCTTTAGACCAGCATAGAGGCAGCAAAAGGAAGGCGTTTGAAGGATGTGAGTATCGATTGATTGTATCAAGGTACGTTTACGTAGCTTAGTTACGAAGACTGAGGTAGATATGAGAGGAAGAAGAAGTAAGAACATGAAAGAGAAGCCGGTACGGATGGTCTTCTCAGTATCAAAGGCAGGAAATGTGGTAAGAAGACGGATAGCACCAGATAGACTACCAGAGTGCATGTGTCGGGCAACGGGGATGTCCCATGGGAAGCAACGGCCTTGGGCAGTGCGAGAGTGTCCAAGGTACTAGCCGGGAACGTGGAGTTTTGATGTCTGCACTGCTGCAGCTGCCAATGTACGCATACTCCGTAGTCTGCAGCTGGAGGTGTCTACTGCAGGACGGGGGGCAAGGAAGACAAGCCGCAACGGGGACAACGGGTAAGGTGGGAAACAGACAGGAGAGGACATGGCGGCGGCGAGGTGTCGAGTCGAGGAGTGTCCGTCCGTGATGCAGATGCAAGCACCTCGAAGGCTCGAAGAGACGATGAGTGATTGAGTGTGTTGCTTCCAACGTGCTTCCTTGGAGCTTCTCCAGAGCAGGTTAGGACCGAAATTGCAACTTGAGACCCAGTCAGAGTCCAACGAACTGGGCGAAACACGAGGGAAGCTATGTCCGACTGCCGGACAAGAAGCAAAATTAGGAATAGGGCAGTATGAAGTAGGGGTGAAGGAACCAGAAATGGACAAGGGCCACGCCGTGGGACGAAGTGGATGGCGACAAGTCCAAGACAGAGAAGGAGAAGAGTGGGTGTGGAACAGTAAGTAGAAGAGGGACGTCACGCTAGCAGGAACTTAAAGTGTAATTGTGTTGTGCGTGGAAGACTGAGAGGGAGAATGCTCCGTGGGTGTGTAGTGTATTCAGGTCAGGTCTTCATAAAAGCTCGAGAGTGTCGTGAGTGTGTGTGTGAGTGTGTGTGAGTGTGTGGTATTAGCGTGTGGGACAGTGTACACTACTGCTGTGCAGGGAGGAGTGTATACGGTTATGAATGGAGGTGGTGGAGAGGTCGAAGTGCGAATAAGGTACAGATGTGCAAAGTGGGAAAAGATGTGCAGAGAGTGTGCACCCATCTCTACGCAGTATGCGCAATCTGTTGCGTCGCGGTGCATCTGCAACATGTGCAAGTGGTTTTTCTGCAGCTTCCAGGTTGCATGGGTAAAGATGGTGAAAAGTGGGAGGGAAGGACATTAGGACGGGGACAAGTTGAAACGGCTTGAGCACGCTGCACGCCGCACAACCAGAAAAGCCACGCCCACTATGTACTAGCTCGAGTGTCAAGAGGCAGGGGCGGTCCATTGGATTGGCTCGTGGTTGCCAAAAGTTCAGAACAACGGCGAAAAAGAGCAAGAACGTCTGCGCAAAGGAGAGAAGTACTTGCCTATCCGTCCGTACCTACCTACTGCGAGCACAGAAAATGAGGTGGGAAGGATCCACTCTCTCTGACCGGGGGTCCTACTCAGGAAAATATGGAGATTCCGGTGCCTGGGACTCTGCGAGAACGTCAACCTGGACGAGCAGTGACGGGATCCCGGAGCACAGGGGAACGGAATGCGCTAGTCATAGATACGTACCGAACTTGCCTCGAGCCCCTCGACTGCAAAGGTTTCCGTCACCCCACTCTCTCAGCATCCATCCATCCCCACTCCAACTGCACCTTATTCGTCCGGGATGCTCCAGCAATGGGAAACTGCAAAGGTAAGCGCGATACGTACCTTTACCGGAACCCTCATCGACGGCGTTTGTAACGACGCACTGGCGCACATGGCATCCTTCCCCTCTTCAATGTTCCTCTCCGAATAACCGATGCCCGTCATGCTAGTTCATAGTACCCGTCTGATAACCTTTTTTCTCAAGATTTTGGTGGTGGGAGTAGACCGGGCGGGTGGTAGGTCAAGGGTTCTCTGCTACACCAACAGCACCATCTATATACACTTCACCCAGACTTGTCCACCTCGCCTTCAAGTCTCTCTCCTGCGGCTTGCCAGGGACTTTGCAGCACACATCAGGGTAAAGTAAGGTAGCGTCGCCACAGCTGTGGGTTGAAAGCCACCACTTGCCACAGACACAGTACTGCGTACAAGAAATCAGGTTGTGAATGTAACGCTTCTACTAATAACCTGACGCACTCGGACCTGTTTGTGATTGTCTACATGTCCAACAAGTTACCGGAACAGGAGATGACCGAAAGAATACCCTGGCGTGGTGTTTCCGACTCTACTTGGCCCTATCTCAAGATAGTCTCCGTTCAAGGGGCAACGTCGTCGTGGACTTGGAACGCTTTCAGGCTGTCTGCCTCTTTCAAATTCATCTGTGCTCTAGTTGTCAACTAAGGTACGGTCTACAGTTAATGAGAATAGGGGCAGGTATGAGATAGTAGCATTGAGCACATGGACACTAGGCTACTACCTCAGAATTGCCTCTCGAGTCTCGACCACCCAACTTCCCTGCCTTTGGAGGCCTGGACCGTTCTTGTTCCTGCTTGCAACAACGTCGACCTTTCCCAACCCAGATAATACGAGTCGCACTTGCTTCTTTCAACCAGGTAGATGCCTCGCGCTTCTGGCAAGTCCCAGCGTGGAGACACACAGAGACTGAGGGGCTAAGTTGACTCAGTTTCTTCCCTTAAGGTGCCATTTCCATGTACGGGAACACAGTAGTGCGGCAGTCAGCCGTCTTCAACATCGTCTCTGTGCAAACAATATCCTTGTCATTTTGTCGTCTCTTGTCTTGCCCCTCTCAGCTATGGGCAATCCGCGGTACCACCGCCACCAACACGAGAATCAAGAAACGCGCTAAACACCGACTCACGGCCTCACGGCCTCACGGCCTCACGACCGGCTTGTTTCTTCCAGAAATCTATTATCGCAATGCGCTTTCCAAAGTCAGATTCACAATCGAATCCACCTGACTACCAACCCATGACTCTCTCCACACTTCATGTGCGTGCCCAAGCGACGATCATCATCATCACGAAAAACGTCCCTCTACGAATAGCACCATTCGCTTACACAAGAACCCACCCTACCTTACCTCTAGTGCAAACTTGACTTCATCTTGCCTTTTCAACACCATCAATTTCAAGTGGATGTCTGCTTCACCATTCAAGAAAGCAACAACACAGACGTGCTCCAGGGCCACCTTGTTGTACTGTCTCATTCTGCTACCATGGTGAGAAGTCACGCCGTCGTCTCCCTCAGGTGACGAACGGCCGTTTAAGCAAAATATTTCCGACATCTACTACCACATCATGCTTCGACCGATCCATACTACTGCACTCGCGCCTATCTCGCTCTTTGGATCACAGCCTCTTTCTCGCTGCATCGCAGCACGCATCAACCGCTGCGCCATTCTTTGGGTCGCACGTCCCTCTCACCGCAGCCGATGTCACTACCCGCGGAAGAACGAAACTTGCTTGCTGATCGAGCCACGAGCGAACGAACGCTATCATCTTAATACTATTATTGTTTCGAGCTTCGTGTAAGCGCGAGAACAGCAGAGAAAAGATTCATAGCATCAAGTACGTTTCCAGCCACCCTTACAATTGAGGATAGATAGCGTCTCTAGACTGATCTTCCGGCACCGTTGCATCAAGCTACTTCTCATGTTTGACGCTGACTTTATCCAGCAATAATCACACGTGAACTACAGGTGGACGCTCTGGCATTCCCAATTTCAGCTAGGCGAAGAGTGCATCAGCTAAAGAGCCTGCGTGAAGGCCTCACATCATTCGCCATCAGCTACGACTCGCTGGCTGATCTGGACCGTCTCGGTATTCAAGCTCGCAGAGGTTGAAAAGAGCTTGCCAGGATGCAACCTCTTTAGTCGGGAGGGGATGCCCCAGCAATCCAATGATATGAGTCGGAGAATTTACGGTATTGGCCGAATGTCAAACTCGCACAGGCGCACAGCGGGGAGGCTTTGCATGAAGTCGCATGAATGATAACCCCAACGGACGAAGAGGATTGGACGACCAAACAAGCATATCAAGAGAGCTGCCACCGACGACGTAATGGTACCGAAACTTCAGGTATCATCCTCTACCGTCCATCCAAAATCTGAATTCATCGCTTCGCAATGAACAGTGGTATTCAATAGCCAAACTGGCCAGTATGTTCGACTGCGTCAACGACGAGGTGGAAGTCCACTTACAGTCAAGGCTTCATCAACGGGAGAGCGTTTAGTGCTGTACTAGGTCAAAGCCTGTTCAGTCGGAGACTCGGGAAGCGGCGAGTCAAACTAAGCCTTCGGTCCCGATGGCACTAACAAGAAATTGACGTTGGGGCTTTGAGCTTTGACATCGACACTGGCCGTGGACAAACCCTTCGAAAGAATAGACCCCTCAACACCAGTGGCTTAAAGTTTGTCCTAAGGGCACGACAGACGGTCTCATGTCTTTCTAGATTGCGCCCGGTGGCTTCGATTCTCGGCTGCTTAAACTTCTGTCACTTGCATGGCGACATGCCAACGAGTGTCACGAATCCGCCAGCCCAGCGTCATCGACTTGGGCAGCGTTGAACACAGCTCTCCATCCGTTGAAGCAACATTGCATACCTATGGCTCTGGGTCAACGGGTGCATTCGTCTAGTCATCGGTGTATCCCACAGCTTCTACCTTGCCATCGGAAGTTGGTTTCACCTTAATTTACCTATGACTCCCGCTCGGAACGCTCGCCGAATACCAGTCGCCAAGCTTTTTTTGGTCCAGCACTATGAGCGGCCCAGCACTTGTTCCCGTCTCCACGTTCTTGACGTTAATCGTATCACCAATATTGCTCAAGGAAACAACGGCGCCTTTGGATCGCTGAGCTGCCTAGGATCCTCCCGGTCTGTCAAACACAGCCAACCCCAATTGCCGTTTTTCGCTATGACTCCCTTTTCCCCTCCTCTTCGTTCTTAGGCGCGGAAACAATAGGGCCTAGAAAAATACGCCATGCTCAAAATGACAGCTGAGCCGGTCACAATTGTCAAAGCGTTCCATTCACTTCATCGTTGCTCATGGCGAAGGCTGATGGATCGACCACTAGCCCATTCTATATTCATCCTGGACCAGAGCAACGTGCGGACGACGTGCCCGCCATTGACGAATACTACCGTGCATCCTGCGCATGAGTCTGAAGCGCTCCGAGCCGTCTCGACCCAGCCGCAATCTCCGTGAAAAATAGCCTGCGAATCTCGGCTCCGGTCATGAGTTCGCATGGGTGTCTTGAATGCCTTCAACAATGATCACACCGCTAGTGGCTAGAGTCTTGGTGTTGTCCGAGCAGCCCTTGAAAGCGTTCGAATCCACTGATCCTTACGCGTCTATCCGTACGGACTGACGGAGTACCAAATATTCTTCGCTTTACGGATATCGACCAGGAAGTCTAGGTAACCACGTTGGCCGGACTTCGCTCCCGAGGCAAGGGACCCCTGATTCGTCTTCCACGAGCCCAACAGCAACCTTGCCATTAAGATCAACCTGGTTTCCACGTCTCTGTTTCCTCTCAGTGGCCCGAACGTCAGTTTCTGCGGCGCGGATAGGTATGATGGAGCATATGAGAGTATGAGGAGTCAAGTGAGGTCAAACTTGACTCAAGCCATAGCACTTTACTCCGTAAAGCGGTTTGACGACCGTGTGCCGGCGGCCAGCGGCATCTATCCGAATAACGTGGGGTCTTCTCAACTTGCCAATTAACGTATGCACGAGGCGGCGTACACGGAACTGAGACGTCTTTGAAGAATTGGAATAAGAAAGCAACTTGCACTATGAGGCGTGGGGTTTACACTCTAATGGCTTGGGACAGCATCGTCGGTTCTTTCAAATATCTCAGACTATGATCAGCGGTGTCACGAGATTGAGAGAAGAGAGGCCATCACGGAGATGTTCATGGTTATTCTCATTCTACAGCAACTCACTGCACCTTGGATGACGGTGAATGGACGTACGGAGTACGGATACGGGACATAAACACTCGTCCATCTCAAGACGAAGATCAAGCCGTCGAGACCTCCTCAGGTTCCCATCCTTCTGTGGGAACGATGAGAACCTGGGTGGAACCAGGGATCCTTGAAGATGCAGCATACATGTCTGAAATAGGTTGATCTCCGCCCCTAGCCACTCCCCTATCCTGAGTAATTGCCAGGGTCCCTAGCTTCTCGGCCTCCCAACGAAGCTCCCCTGTCGACGAACCATCTCGACACTGGCTCCCCGAGATATCAGAGCTCCAGCTTTTCATCTATGCAGGGGGGCTTTACTCACCTTGCACGTGTACTCCATAGAGCGGTGGCAGGACAATATCGAAACCGACTGGGTTTACCATTTTGCAACGAGCAGAGCGCCGGGGTCGTGGATCCTGAGTGATGTCAATATCGCACCG